CAAGTTTTTATAATATGTTACCAGTTAGATAATGGGGGTGAGAACTAATTATCAATCAGTATTTACCTGTAACATCGTTTAATTAGATCTGCGCAAGATGACAAGAATGACATTGACCTTGAAATATAGCAAATAAGTATTCGCGAAATTTGCACATAACTTTTTTCAAGTCTCTGGCTCATTCACAGGGCGAGAAATAAGCGTTTAACATCGGTAAAAATAGCTGAAATGCATGTAAAAAGTAATAAGGATTAAGGATTAAATATTTAGTTATTAAAAGGAATTTCATTGAATTTAATCACAAATGAAGGTTTATTGACATAATCCACCTCATTGACATATTTTCTCTCTATCACAAACACGTTCAAAGTTTCCGACTTTAACTGCCGATACCTCTGTAATTACAGTTATATATTTTAATAACCTTTCTTTTGACCATATTGATAATCAATTCTAGTCGGGGGTGATTTCCGACTTCCCCCCTTACTTTAAGTCAATGTATTTTACAGAGGCCAATTCTAATCAGAATTAAACCCCAAAAAATCTGTATACTTCTCAGATTTAGTTTAAAGCATTATAATTTATTAATGAACAGATATCAAATATGATTTTATTAATAAATAATTAATAAATCAAATTTGAAAAAGGAACATGAAGGAAGGCTTAAAGTTTGGTTTAAATTACATTTTGTATCTCAAAGGATAATCAAAGGGCGAAAATACTGTGAGTATGAAATATACAGCAGAAAAACTTAAACATCGTATCAAAAATACAATCAATTATTGAGTGATGAATACAGTTGAATAAATTATGTAGCAGCAATGCCAACATTGGCTAATTGTGGTATGTTTGGTGTATACAATTGATTGTTAATGCTGTAAACACCATTTTCACTTGGAATCCTGTAAACAATGTCTTTATACTTTTCATCCATGCGACTTTTAACTTGATTAACGGTGACGAACAATTTTTTCAACATTCTGAAATAAAGGGCGGACGCTAGCCGATAAAATATTGTCCATTTAAGCAGATAATCGACCAGAAATACTTGCAACTTGTATGAGATTCGAGCAGACAATGAATCCAAAGAAATTGAATGAGTAACATTCAACGTTTCATACCAATATTTCATAAACCCTTCATAGCTCATGATGAATTTTGGTACTGATATGTTGAGTCCTAGGAAAACTCCTTCAGTTAGTCTCATGGCTGCTTGAACAACTGAATTAGGTTGATCCAGATAAGGTTTGTATCCACGATCGAAGCATATTTCCATAAATTGGACCGATTCCTCATAATTGGTTAAACAACAATTGAACCTATCCTCGATGCCCATACAGTACCCAATTACTCGCCAAAAGTAAATATACTCTTCAAACTCTTCCCTGTAATAAAATAAAATTAAATCAGTAAAGGAAAGAAAACAAATAACAATAATAATTGAAAAGCAAACCTTGTTGTTGAATAGAAACCACATTGTTTAGGCCTAATTGCTACCGGTCCAATAAGACTCCATTGGGTCATTGTCATGTCAAATTGGCTTAACCAGAGATCATCTTTTAATGGATATTTTTCATTCATCAATTTGGATACCTGAAGATGACAAGCTCGACGAACTCGAGACAAAGATTTATTAGCCTTTGATCCTTTCTCAAATGGATTGTCTTGATACCAGGAATCAACATGATTAACAGTAGATAAGATTCTTAAAAAAACCATATAAACAGTCGACGAACGTCCAGACGCAAAAATAGGTATCGTTACTCGGGGCAACATCACCAACAATATATTGCCGATGAAATGCGCTATATTCAAACTGTTGGGATAAATTAATAAATATAATTAGATATTGTGTTTTAGCAATAATAAAACAAGTATATAGCATAAGTCGAATTGATTTCGTGTGGACTATAATAACTTTACATAAACACTTGGCCAGCGAAATGTGAGGTTCTAAAATGAACATTAGACAAACTCGTTTTAATTTAATTTCAGCAAATGAAAAGGTAAAATTTTATGTAAAAATAAACAATCACAAAACCAAACATTAAACACAATTTAGTAAAGCAGCTTTTAGTGAATGTAATTCTGTTGAAAACTGGCACATCTTTCAAATAAACCTCAACCCTTGTCGAACAATAAACTTCGATTTCGTGCAAATGTCTTTCATTATTCGGTCAATATCCAAATACATAAGCAAAATACAGAGTTCGTGTATTAGTTCTAGTTGCGTTTATAAGAGTTGTCGTCGAGAGTGTCAAGCTAGAAGGAACAACTGGATGTCCAGTCGTAGTTTCCCTGATATTTTGAGTTTCAGGTCCAATACAACTTCATTTCCTTTCTAGTTTTCCTTTCTTTCTCTAACTTTTTCTTCCCTTTTTCATCTTGTTCTCTCAGGTTGCATGATAAATTCAATAGAAAGTGGATAAAAGTAGAAGACGAACAAGAAGAAAATGATGATGATATTGGAAGTGCGCAAAGAAAGACAGAGAAAGAAAGGTTATCCTGCGCTTGCAACAATTTTCAATTCAATTTCAATCCATTCATTCATTCTTCTCTTACATTTCATTTCATTTCATTTCCCTTTTCCATGTCTTCGTTTTTTCCCCCAACAATTTAAAAAATTATCGTTTCAGTTAGCGTCTTCTCCTTTTTTCACTCTTCTCCCTTTCTGACTCTCTTTCTTCTCTTCATTTTCCTCTGTCTACTATTTTTCATCATGTGCTTTTCTTACTCTCTGTGTTTACTTCTCATTCTGCCAGCCTTGTGACTTGTTTTTATTTTTCTGTCATTGCAACTATCATTTTACTATTTGTCACTTGTTATTGGTATTGGGCAAAAAACTTTATTCATTTCATTCATTTTCTCTTAATCTTGACTATTGGATCTAACAATTTAAGTTTAATAATGAACGGCAATGGTATTAAACGTCGCTCAGTGGCAATTATTGGTGCTGGCCCTGGTGGATTAATCTTAGCGCAGAAGTTTCTTCAACGAAAGGATCTTTTCGATGTCACTGTTTTTGAGAAACAAGCTGATATTGGTGGAACCTGGATCTATTGTGAAGACACAGAAACTAATAAATATGGACTTCCAGTTCATTCAAGTGTTTACCGAAATTTAAGGTAAGTATTTCGTTTATTTCGACCCTCCAATTCATCTTCAAGAAGATAATTCTACAATCTATAGATCTGATCTATCAATCAATCAAATCTGAACAATCTATAAATCTATCTTTCCATCACAATATTGTACTAATTGATAATTATACAATCTGTGGAATTTTCCCTTCCAACACTGTTTTTTGCCCTCACCTTTTCGATATAAATTACCAGGACCAATCTGCCGACAGTATTAATGGAGTTTGATGATTTCCCTCACAATCAAAATCCATCTAAATATGTCAGTCACCAACAAGTCTTGCAATATTTACAAGCTTTTGCACATCACTTTGATATAAAAAAACACACTAAGGTTAGTTTTGCCCAAAACCCCATTTACTGATTGCAAATTAGATTTAAAACCAGAAATCACAAAAATAATTTCCATAAAAGCAGATGAATAATATCAAATAAAACTTTAAGATATTATATCTTCACCGCATTTATCAGAGATCAGCTGTAATCTTATTTACGTTCATCTTACTAATCAATCAAGTTTTTTTTTCAGTTTTTGCATTTAGTAACAAAAGTATCTCGAGATAATGATTTATGGTTTGTGGATTATCGTAATCTTGAAACTCAAGAAACCTCCACGGAGACATTCGATGTCGTTTGTATATGCCAAGGGCGCTTTTCAGTGCCATATATTCCGAATGATATTCCTGGTTTAAATACTTTTAAGGGATTGCAGATCCATACACACACTTACCGAGTACCCGATATGTTTAAAAACAAGAGAGTGGCTATTTTAGGAGGTGGACCTTCAGGAGCTGATATTGCTCTTGAAGTTGCCGATGTTGCCAGTGAAACCTATTTATGTTACACTGGTAAGGAGAATGGTAATTTTTATCCATTTGGGGATAAAATAGTTCAACCAGGAGCCATATTCAAATCAGTCGGAGAAGATTCAATTGAATTAACGAATGGCACTGTTCTAAGAAACATTGATGCAATTATCTTTGCTACTGGATATCAAATTGACCTAAGCATATTTGACCCTTCATGTGGAATCGAAGGAGGTGAAGGTCGAGTTGATGGTTTATTCATGCACATGATCAACATAAATTATCCAACAATGGCATATCTCGGTTTGATGGAGAGGACTCCGGTCTTTAACGTGTTTAGTCAAATGGTAAGTTTCACCTGATGGAAATGATAACAACTTTAAGCAAATTTACTAGATATATTAACCGTTATCGATCTTTTGATTTTTAGGCAAAATATTTTGTTCGAACCTTGACAGGAGAGGCTGAACTTCCATCTAGAGATGAAATGATTTTGGATCTTGAAGCTGATAGGAAGGAAAGACGATCAATGAATACAAAATTGAAACATTCACACCGAATGTTCTGTGATCAAATGTGGCGTTGTGATGAAAAACTCAGTATTTTAGGAAGATTTAAGCCACTTCCACCTTTAACCAGAACACTTTATGAAAAATGTCTTGAACTGATATTCGGAGAAACCAACTACAGAGATTATCAATTTATTCTTAACTATGACAAAGGAACATATGAAGCTGTGAAAAAATAGATGAAGCTTGATTGACTTGGACATTGGATATTTAGTTATTGGTTAAACTACTGTTCTGTTTTTGTATTGATCAAATCATTTTATTGTATAAAATAATGAAAAAACCTTTACTCATAAGATGAAGATTGTTTTGACTATAGAAGATAATGTTTATTATTAATCATGTTTGTTATCATAGTACCAATGAAAGATAACGAATTGAATTAATTCGAATTTTATAAAAAAACCAAAATCCAACGGCTGATTCCGTTTTGGAATCTTTCAAATGTTTCTTCTATCATTTGATAAATTGTTGAAAGGAGTTAAGTAGCGTTATTGATCTGAATTATCAAATGTAAACTGATATGAAACAAATCATTTTCCAGCAATTAATTTTGGTATCAGGTTTTGGTGTTACTCAGTACATAAAGATTTTGAATGAAAATTAACTTGAAAAAAGCTTGAAAAATTGAAAAATCAGAGGTAAAAGTTGACCAAATATCCTAGACATTCAAAGCAATTCAACTCCGAGACTAAAATCAAGTTCAGTGAAATCGGATGTGATTCTGTGATTATCATTTTATTGTTGGCTTATTAATTTATTATCCTACACCAGATTTAAAGTCACATTTATTGCAGGTAACAGAACCTTAGACATTGATATAAAACCATTGGTAAATCTTGAAGCTCAATTGATTGTCGACTGAAATTATTTTATGGCTCTCAACAATCTACCAGAGACTGCTGTAAACCATCCTTATACCAATGAATTTAATCATTTACTTGAAGCATTTTCATTCCTCTTATTCAGCTAATAATTTTCTCAGGTGTTTGGATGGTTTAAATTTGCACAAAATTACAACGCTCAAGTAAACGAAGTTAAAATCATTGACCAGTTTTAAGTCAACATTATGAATAATGATTGTGATGTTGTAAATAAAAGGTTACTTGATTTTTACAATAAGCAACAAAATTCCGTTTCAAATGTGTTCTTTCAAGGTGACAATGTAGACGAGAAAAGCAATACAATTAATACTCCAAGTGTTCGTGAAATTTTCCCGATACTTCCAATTGAATCTCCCTATTATAGAGGTTCAACATCAACCCATCAAAAGGATTGCAGATCAACAGCAATAACTTTATCCAGTTATGAGCCAGTCTCATCGAGTGGACCAGTTCGTGTTTTTCCTGAACGGATTAGGAAGCGAATGGTCCTTAAAAATGGTGCCATTAATTTATCCCAGGAAAAGGTTAAGAAACGCAATCGTCGTTATCTTCAAGACACTTTAACAACAATGGTTGATCTTAGGTGGCGTTACAATCTGTTGGTTTTTTTTACCGGTTTCATGTTGAATTGGTTCACCTTTGCTTGTTTATGGTACGGTTTGGCTTTTATTCACGGTGACATTGGCAACGAACCACCTAAAGGCAAATGTATTGTCGGTGTGTCTACCTTTCTCTCTGCGTTTTATCTTTCATTTGAAAGTCAAGCGACCCTTGGCTTTGGTAAACGCTATCCAAGAGATGATTGTTTTGAAGGTGTCTTATTGTTGTGCTTTCAAGCTATGGTTGGTTCCATGATTCAATGTTTTGTGGTTGGCTTTGTGTTTGCTAAGCTTTCCAGGCCAAAAAAGCGTGCCTCAACTTTAATGTTTAGCCGTGATGCTGTCGTCTCTCGTCGTGATGGTAAACTTTGCCTATTTTTTCGGGTTGGTGACATTCGTAATCGTTCCTACATCATTGATGCCTCTATTTCTGCCATTTTTATTTCCAAAAAGGTGACCAAAGAAGGTGAAATATTGCCTTATTATCATGAACAGTTGAAGGTGCGATTTGAAAATTGTGGACCTAAAATACTTCTCATGTGGCCAGCAATGATAATTCACGACATTGATGCAACAAGCCCATTCTATTGGATGAATCCGGAGCAATTGTCTAAAGCTAAATTTGAAATTATCCTCATGTTGACTGGTGTAATTGAATCGACTGGTCAAACAATTGAAGCTCGCACCTCTTATTTACCGAGTGAAATTTTCTGGGGACGAAGGTTTTGCCAAGTTGTTGATTATCGTATGGATATTGGACAGTATCGAGTCGACTACAGTAAATTTGATGCTACCTATGAAGTGAATACTCCTAATTATTCAGCAAAGCAGTTGGGCTTGAGAGGCTCAGTTACTAGTTTTAGTGGCAACCAACCTGTACCCAATGATAGACCCAGAAAGAGTACCATTGAGGAATACGATGACGATGTCTTCCTATGATTTAAATGCCGAGGAATGTTAACTTTGAATCGACTCAAATTTCAACCCTTCATAATGGCAAAGAGATGTCGCATTAAATTTGGATAAATCAGTTTGTTGTGATTTCTTTTTGATCAACTTTATTGAAAATGTAAATTAATTGAGAGGTTAGCATGTCGATTCATAAATTTGTACATAATTTTGCTACTTCAAGTTGAATAAGATCTACCTCTTCAATAATCAACGAAATCAGTGCTGAGACAGACATTTGTAACTGCTGATCATAATAATAAACATCTTCAAGATGAAAAGAATGCCATATTTGAGTCCGTTCTTTATCACCAACCAACCTGTTATTGAAAAATGCGTTTATCGATTCAAGTGTTTCCTTTACATCTGCTTCACTTTTTGTTATCAATTTATTCATCTCATTGATCCATTCGTTGTATAGTTCAACAGACAATTGATTTGATTCACCAGCTAAGCGTTGCTCTAACGCACTTTCTGTGGTCGTCAAATGTTTTGATATCTCATCCATATTGCCCGAATTTTTGGATTCCCAATTTTTCATGATATCAACCATCCAATCTGAATGAAACGAAACTATTTTATACATTTCATTTAGATTACGGTTTAAATTTGCTCTCAACAATTCGATGTTTTTTAACCAATAATTTTGCACTTGATCCACTGTCTGTGCTTTTTGTTGGTGTATTTGATCAATTTTAACCACAATTTGATTATATTGTTGTTGTAGTAAATTCCAGGTTTCAGATGAATATTCACTTTTCATTCGTAAATAATGTTGACACTCATTGAGTTGTCTATTCAGTAAAGCTCTTAGCTCATTTGCTGAATTGGTCAAGTTAGACCTAACATCATTATTGATCTTATTCAATCCACTATTTTGGACCGTGTTGACATTATTGAACATTGAATTGATCAACTGGCTGATTGAGTCTCGAACCAAATTTGCCCGATTAATTACATCATTAATCACGCTTACACGGCTCTGAGTAGCTTTCGCACTCATAAGATTTATTTCACTGCGAAAGTTATTAGCCATTGCATCAATGTTTTGCTTGTTAACATTTTGAATGTTTCCCTGTGAATTCACTGTTGACTCTGAAAGAAATGAACACTATTATTGAAACAATCAGCATCTTAACTTCAAATTTTCATCAAAAACTTACCACAAATCATGTAAAGAAACACAGAGAAACAAAGCAAAGAAACTTGATTCATCATTAAATTGAAACTATTAGCTTGAAGGATAAACAACTTACAATTGAATTCAAATTGAAACAATTAGTTCAATTTTCAATCTCACCCTAAAAATTTACCTATCATTTTGATCTACTATGAAATGAACACAACACTGATTTGTTGGATTTGTTTATCAAATTTGTTTGTATTTTACAATTGAATTTTCAAGATAATTTTAAAAACAATGAACTTTGATTTTGTTTGGCATCATTTCCATGAAATCATCAAAGATCAACACAAACAGATATGTTGACAAACAATCATATTGAAAAAGGTCAATCAAAATGATAGAAATATTTATAAGCAAAAATAATCAATTTGGCGATCCCAGTAATATAAATATCCAGTCTTATATTGACAAATTGTATTTCAGGAAATTAATTATTCCAAAGATAAATTTGTATTGAACTTCCTTTCAATAGTTTGCAACCATTTCACCGATTAATTCAATAAAAGATTCCTTGATTGTTTCATGTCAGAAACATGCTACTTTTGAATGGTTAAATTGTGAAAAGAGCACCATTTTGTTGATAACATCGATACGCTGAATCGATATTTAATGGGTTGATGAATTAATTAGCCATTAAACTCTATTAGTTTTTCCGTTGGCCAGTTACATTACATTGCTATTAATACCACAATTTTGGATCAATAAATGTAAACCATTATTATTATCATTAGTCCTGGTTAAGGTCTTTAAATGAGAAGTGACCAATTTCAATGGCCATTGTATACAAAACAAATACACAGTTTGCTAACCAGAAAAAACAAGATTCAATAGATGTTTAAATCTAAAAATAAACTGTTTAAACACAAAGACAATAACAAAAGACAATGGATATTCACAATAGTTGATCAAAATGAAAAGCAAGTCAATCGTGACCAGGTTAATATATTTTCATCAATTTATTTCCAACATTGATAGCCTAATGAGTATTAATGAAAATGTCGCTAAAATCAGTAAGAAATAAGCTTCCACTTAAATTACCAGATTTTCCTGAAATCCACAGGAGAAGTAACCAGTTTCATTAAACCTAAATCCACCTTCAAATGAGACTCTCTGGTTAAAGCTTCGTCTATTTTCAAGGCAACTTCAGACGTTATTTCGTTCATTTTTTGCGTGTTTTTTTCGCAATTTCATTTCTTAGTAATTAAGTTTGGGTTAATCTTTAATTTGCGATTTTTTGAGTTAAATTCAGTCAAGTTTGAGATCAAATCAAGACTCTTTTAACACAAAGATTTTTCGGCTGTATGAATAGACCATTTCCCTGGTAACGTCCTTTGAGAGGGATTACTGTAAATCACTGGTATTGATCAGAATCATTAACCAACAACCAGAGTTTTAACAATCGGTGTTAAATTGATAATTGATAAATTATAAGCCTCAATCATTCAGGTTAACTGACTCTGATAATCGGTAGTTTCTGGTGTTTCTTGGTGTTACCAGAGTTGATGCAATTGTTTCTGGTGAATTTGTTAAACAGGTTGCAAATTGCAACATTTGATTATTAGTCGAGTTTAATGTTATTAAATTGCTTCTAGTCAGGAGATTAAATTTAGTATCAAACAAAGAGTTAACTGGTAACAATGAACGTCCAGAAATGCGATGAATGATGGCAAATGGAAGAGGGAAAAACACTAAACAAAACCTCACCTTTTTTTGTTAATTAAATTAATCATGATATTTATCTAATGTGAGCTTTGCGTTTATCTGGATATAATAACATGATCTAATGAGATGATTAACTTTCACATTGAACCATCATTCAACCAAGGATAGCTTTATCCAAATTACATCTTTTACAACATCCAACGACTAATGATACAAGTCATAACTCTTACCTTTTTATGTAAAGCCTTTCCTTTCAACAATATAATCAATTTGACAATAAAAGTGGTTTTTACCTGAAATAATACTTTTGGGCCAGCTTTTGAGCTCGAGTAAACCTTTCAAGATTAAACCAATCTGGTTGATTATCCAATGGTGATCTATCGTTTATCACTCCAGGAGTCTGTTTACCCAATGTAGATAAGCGTAACCAGCGTTCCTCCAGGTTGTCCGCATATTTTTTTGTACTCACTGGTTTAGGTGATTCAATTAGATCCATATTGTCACAGTTATTGGTAAATAGCAACTGAATAAATTCAGTAAACAGTAAACGAAATAATCACAATAAACTGATTGAACAAAATGGTGTTGCTCGAAGTTGTTTTGGCAAAAGATGGTTGAGTTAGGTTAGTGTTGCTCTGTTAACAAGCTCATCCGACCAAATGGTAAACTCGGTGGATTTAGGTGATGAGGCGAAACTACGGAAGTTTGAAGGCATGAACAAATGAATAACAGTTAATAAATTGCCTTAAGCATCTTAATCGCAAGTAAAAACAACAATAAAAAAGGACATTCAATACGATAAAACCAGTTTTCAACTTAAAGGTTCAACTTTCACTATTCAATTTTCAGTTGAAATAATGTAATCAGTCTATTTTAAGGGCAAACAACGACTTTTTGCTCCAATGGTAGTTATGAATGGACAATTGTTTAATCACTATTCAATAACTCATTCAGTTAACACCTTTAATGCCATTTTTGGTCCCATTTAACCCAAAGTAAAGTTTAATTTGAATTGTAATCATCGCTCTAATAAACAAATGTAAACCAGAAAGAGAAAGTTACAGTTACTGTTACTGGTTATTGAACTTGGTTAGACAAGACTTGAAGTTCAATTCAAATTGTAATGTAAATTAAGGTCACTTTTGACCCTACTTTTTTCAATACGGTCAACTTTCCTCTCAAGATGGATGGTCATTCTTTCGATGGTCAGGTGAATGTTTCTCTTAAAGGTCAGTTACTTTTTTCCGGGTTTTATTTTTCATTTTCTTCTTTTTAAAAGACACTTTTATTCTGGTCAAACATATGATGACCAACAATAAAGAGCTTACAATTAGTGAATTGTGGAATATATTTAACTTATAATAAATGCTCAAAATAAAAGGATTGTATCAGAAATTAGGTTTTCTCATTTTCTCATTTTTAACATGATTGTGTTATTTCACGTTTAACAGAATCCACATCTTGTTTAATTTGATCCAATTGCGCCAAAAAACCTCGGCAGTGACTCCAATCAAGAAAAGACATCTCTTGAAGAAAGTAATGTTGCCATTGTTTATACGTCATTTTATAATCAACCAACTTTTCATTGAGAACTTTGGTCATGGTTTCAGTTTTGTTTAATCCTGGTTCACTGTAGCAAATATCAAACTCACCAGTCTTCCAGTCTTTCATCACACTAGCCAGCCAATTCGAATGAGTTGATATCAAGTTGTTTATTGCTTCAAGAACATGTTTCAAAGATGATCGAGCGCGTATCAGCCCTTTTATCTTGTTATTATAACAGTAATCAATAGCATAAAATAAGTAGTCAATCTTAGCTAGAGTGCGATTATACCGTTGTAGCATTATCTTCTGATCCTTTAACGTACATTCGCTTTTAAATTGGGAATAGTGTTCATTCAATCCAGATTTTAGCTCATGCAATGCACTGGTCATGTTGTTCCTTTCAATTATTTCATTCGTTGTTCTATTTTCCAATTCATCGATGGTACTGAAATACGAATGGACCTGCTGACTCATCCAGTCACAAGCCAAATAGGTTTTATTGAGTATTTCAATGAACATGGCTTCACTTTCATTCATTGCTTTCCCTTTGAATGCATTTAATTCACTATGCAAATTACTGGCTATTGATTCACAATTTTGAATGCTTCCCAGAGCGTTCACTAGTTGAGGCTGTCTATAATTTGTATTATCTGTAGCAAAAGTGAAAAAAGTATTAATAAATTAAACTTACATTGTTATTTTATGAAAAGTGGCTTTAATCGGCCTGAGGTTTTGAGATGAGATGAAACTTACAGTTCTTTTGAGAGTTATCGTTTCGTTGCTTAGTAGACATAAGAATAGCAATAGTAATGCAGATAACTATAAACACAATGAAAGCATATAAAATAGAAGCTAATACCACAGAATTACCAAGAGTTGCCTCTATAAGAGATTAATGAACAAAATTATTGAGAAATCTTATTATAATTTTAAGTTTTCATCAAAACTTACCACAAATCAAGTAAAGAAACAAAAACGATATTGTAAAAAGTTTATTCATCATTGAGTTGAAAAGTACTAAGTATTAAAATCAACAGTATAAATCACAAAATTATTCATTCAACTGGAATTAAACAGCAATTGACAACAGTTTATAATCAATCAACAGTTAATGATGAGAAATGGAAGTTGTAAAAACACTTAAGTGCAAAACTTTACCTTTTTTGTTAAATCAATTATTTTATTCATCATATTAAACTATTATTTGGTCGTCCTATAATTAAGAGTTAACCAAATTAGGGTTAGAGATTCATTAGGTTCTTAAAAGGTATAGACGGTAAGCAAAGTGGAAATTCCTGTGTTTAATTGAAATTCATTTTAGTGCCAATCAGCCTCAGTAATGGTGAAATTATCTAGTGATCACCCAAATGATGTGATTCGGGTAAAATGTCGGTATATTAACAATCATATGCTGTTAATATTTCAAAACGTTCACTCAATCTTTACTCTTTTGTTTCTAATCATTTCCATCTTCATCTAATCTTATCTAATAGGAAAATTCAAGTATGTATCAAAGTCATACTAATAGCAACTGAAAGATACATCTGTTAAACAAATAAACAACCCAAAATTAAGCTACTGAAGTAATCTTGTAAATCCGCCTCGCGTTGAGTCAAAAGACGATGATAAGACGACACCTTATTTTAGGCGTTAGGTTGAGATGCAAGTTTCATCTGTTGCTTGACATTTTTACTGTGATTTGCGGCAACTTAATCTAGCCGTTGAAACTGGCTCTAATACGCCTACAATATCATCATCGGACACTTGATCACCTGATACAATAATAATATCTGTGATCCAACTTTTGTTTCAACAACCAGATTTAGTATTTGATTTTATTAAAAGAGAAAGATGATTGAACTGATTATATTTAAACTGACAGTTGAAGATGGCTGAGCAAGGAGAAGCCTTTGCTCTTGGTGAACTTAATTTTTGTGACCAAGGGTAAATTGGTGTCAGATAAATCAACTGTTTAAGCTAAATATGGGAATAATCTCATTTTAGACATTGATCTATCTTTTGATATTAATAGACAAGTAAACAAACCGTTGGTGCACCTCGAGTTAAACAGGTAAAACTGATTATGCTATTATTGTGGATAAAGTAGGTTTACTGTGAATGATGAAAATAATTGCAATGTTGATGATAATGATCATCATCATGACATGGAAATAATGAAAGTGTATGTACATTATACACTACAAGGTTTTATGATAAAATTTCCTGAATCATCATTTCCGTTTTTTTCATGTTAGAAAAGGAAGAAACTGTTTTTATATATTGGTTTACCTTTATTTTTTATTCTCCTTTTCTTTCTTTCTCTCTCCCTCTTACCTTTGTTATTGAGCATACTAGAAACATTAATAATATATTAACATTAAATAGTTAAATGAATGAACATCATTCAAAATTTGTTTCAAACTAGTCTCATATTGTAACGCTGTATGGCGTTGTAAGCAAGTGTTTCTCTTCAAGTCTCTACCAACAATTGCTCTTGATGTATTGAAAAACATATGTAGTAATGTTCAGCTTCTTGGGATAAATGGAAGTGAGTCGTCTTTTCTCATGGTTTAGTTAATGATGAGTTCTCATACTACCCCTGTTTTGGGTAATTTGGCACCCAGGTTAATTTATATTACCGGGAAACATAAATTTTGTTCAAATCGTATATCAACGGGGAAGTATAATGTTTTCTCTTTTATGCCTAAATTTTTGTTTGAACAATTTCGCCGCTACTCTAATGTGTTCTTCCTCATCATTGCCTTGCTCCAACAAATACCCAATGTTTCACCTACTGGTCGATATACAACGGCTGTACCCTTATTTTCAATCCTCGCAGTATCCGCCCTGAAAGAAGTGTTTGAGGACATTAAACGTCACCGAGCTGATCGCACAGTCAACCGAAGCAAAGCTTTGGTTTTAAATAAATGTACCAACCAATGGGAGATTAAATTTTGGATGGACATTATGGTTGGTGATGTGATTAAAGTGAAAAATGATGGCTTCTTTCCAGCTGATCTTTTGTTACTTGCCTCTTCTGAGCCAAATGGTATGTGCTACATTGAAACTGCTAACCTTGATGGTGAAACAAATTTAAAAATACGTCAATCACTTGCTGCAACGTATCATTGTATCACTAGTGAACAGTTGATAAATGATCTATCACTAGCCTCAGTTTCCTGTGAACCTCCTAACAAGCATCTCTATGAGTTCCATGGTAACTTAAAAGTTGGAGATACTCTTTATCCTATTAATCCTGATCAAATTTTATTGAGAGGGGCTAAATTAAAAAATACCAATTGGATTTTCGGTACTGTTTTGTACACTGGACATGAAACAAAGCTTATGATGAATAGTATGCTTCAAGCTCCTCTTAAACAGTCTCGTGTTGAACAAATTACCAATTCACAAATTTTAAACTTATTTGGCATTCTACTTTCCATTGGAGCTATCTCTACTATCGCTAACCTTATATGGAATAATGGAGCTGAAAATCATTGGTACCTTGATGAGAAATCAACCTCATCCAATTTTGCTTACACTTTTCTAACCTTTTTCATTCTTTACAATAATTTAATTCCAATTTCATTACAAGTAACATTAGAGGTTGTACGCTTTGTACAAGCTCATTTTATTAATTCAGACTTAGAAATGTATTGCTCTGAGTCTGATACTCCTGCAATGGCGCGCACATCCAATTTAAATGAGGAACTTGGCCAAGTACGTTACATTCTTTCGGATAAAACAGGAACGTTAACTCGCAACGTGATGGAGTTTCGTCAATGTTCCATAGCCGGGATAATATTTTCTGCGGAAGAAGGAACAAAGATGGTCAATTTAATAAACACTAGTCAAGATAAAGGACATTATATTAGAGAATTTTTAACTCTACTGGCAATCTGTCATACAGTGGTTCCTGAAAAAGATTCAGATGAATCTAGTGATGGTGGAATCAAATATCAAGCTGCCAGTCCAGATGAAGGAGCTCTTGTCAAAGGAGTAGCGAATATTGGTTTTAAGTTTACTACAAGGACTCCCGATTATGTTTACATCAATGCCCTTGGCCGGGAAGAAAAGTACCAAATATTGAATGTTCTTGAATTCAACTCTGAAAGAAAAAGAATGTCTGTGATAGTCAGGTGTCCCAATGGAAAAATTAAATTATACATTAAAGGAGCCGATACAGTACTTTATGAGCGATTAGCAAATGAACAATTTGCTGATGTTACAGTTGAACATTTAAGTGTATTTGCCAGTCAAGGTTTGAGAACACTGTGCTGTGGTTATGCAAATATCGATGAGACAACCTATGCTGATTGGATGAAAGACTATCAAAAGGCAATCAACGATGTGTCAAGCAACCGTGAAGAGACCATTGGTCAAGTGATGAATAAGATTGAGCAAAAATTGAGTTTATTGGGAGCAACAGCGATTGAAGATAAACTTCAAGATGGTGTACCTGAAACTATTGAAACTCTTTTAAAGGCGGACATCAAGATTTGGGTACTTACTGGGGATAAGCAAGAGACAGCAATCAATATTGGCCACTCTTGCAGATTAATACGTGACTCTAATCCGTTAATAATTATTAATGAAGATTCATTAGATGCAACTCGTGAAGCTATCAGAGAGGTTGAACCCACACCAGGATCGGTTCTAGTGGTTGATGGTAAATCTCTCAAGTATGCTTTAGCTTCTGATATCAAAGCTGAATTTGTTGACATTGCTTTAATATCTACTGCCGTTATCTGTTGTCGAGTTTCACCTATTCAAAAGGCTGAAATTGTCGACATGGTTAAGTCAAAGACCGGTGAAGTGTGCCTTGCCATTGGTGATGGTGCAAATGATGTTGCTATGATCAGAGCAGCTAATGTCGGTGTTGGCATATCTGGTCACGAAGGTTTACAAGCAGTTCACTCAGCAGACTACAGTATTCCCCAGTTTCGCTTTTTAGCCCGTCTTCTTTTGGTCCATGGAGCATGGTCACTTTCCCGTCTCTGTAAATTAATCCTCTATTCTTTTTACAAAAACATCGCCTTATGCATCATTGAACTCTGGTTTGCTTGTGTAAGTGCCTGGAGCGGACAAACCATCTTCGACCGATGGACCATTGGTTTGTACAATGTTTTCTTTACCGCCCTTCCTCCCTTTGCCATCGGTCTATTTGATCGACAGTGTTCAGCAGAAACCATGTTAAAGTATCCGGGTCTATACCGTATAGCCAATGAAACAGTTTTCACCTTAAGACTTTTCTGGATTTGGATTGGAACTGCAATTTGGCATTCTTTGGTTCTTTTCTGGTTGACTTATGTTGTAGTGAAAAATGACGCCCTCTGGCCTCATGGTCTTTCTGACGGAGGTTACCTTGTTTTTGGTAATGTATTATATACCTACGTGGTTGTCACGGTGTGCCTCAAAGCAGGTCTTGAAATATCAGCCTGGACCTGGGTCACTCATGCAACCATTTGGTCATCCATTGGCATCTGGTTCATCTTCCTCATTGTTTATTCATATTTTTGGCCAAGTTTACCCATTGCAGCTGATATGTTGGCAATGTATAAATTGGTTTTCTCATCATACATCTTCTGGCTTGGACTTATTATCGTACCTTTCATCACCTTGATATTTGACATTGTTTACAAAATTGTGGTCCGTACCTGTTACAAAACACTGGCTGACCAAGTCCTTGAAGAGGAAAAAAGTCTAGTCTCATCATCATCCCAACAAACCCTATTAACCGAGACTGCCAGGTTAATTCGTAACGTTTTCGATAAGAACAAATCTCGTGGAAAATCTAAAAGAGGTAAACAAGATTCCTCAGCGGACAAACGAAAATCAAGAGTAGATCTCGAAGTTGAACTTCAACACGGTTATGCTTTTTCACAAGAGGAGCACGGAGCTGTTCGCCAGTCCGAGCTTATTCGCAAATATGATACAACCAAAGCAAAACCTGAAGGAGTTTAACTTTCACACCTTTTTGTTATTGAGACTTAACATTCACATTAGCAGGAAAACAAAAGCAAGAATGAATTGAAAGTATAAAAGAAAAAAATATAACTGAATCATGAATTTTATAAGTAATGTTTATTTATATACATGCCGTTTAATGATGATCATCATAAGGCAAAGAGACTTAATCTGAATTAGTAGTCGTTCATTTTCTAATAACTCTATGATTATCAATTCAGCTATATTAAATACTATGTACATAGAACCCAAAATGCGTGTGTGTGTTGAAAAGCGATGCAATGAAATTTGAAAGTTAAAAGAAGAATCTTTCAATTCTTCTTTTCATCTTCAATCCCTTTTTTTATTACTTATGAATGTGTTATACCAATTTTACAAAACAAATCACACAAATCAAATTGTCTTTTGATTTTGTTGAAAAACACTGTAATTGCAAGTGAAATTGACTCGCTGATGTGATACAGCATATCTGATTTCATCCCTCTTTCCCTCTCCTTTCCCACCGTTCAGACCAAATTGTAAACTCTTATCAACCTACCACCACAATTATTGCCAGAGCAATTAGCAAGATTTATAAATTATCACACCATCATCATAATTCTGTAACTCAATAACACCCTTTGTTTCTCCTTTTCTTAACCTCTCAGCCTTTTCATCAACACCAACACCAACAATTTTTTTCATGATATTTCTCTATAACCTTGAGTTTTGTATATCATAAGCTTTAATCCAGATACTTTTATCCCTCTTACCATGATTATTATTAATTTAATTACTTAAATAATAGGAATCAATTGATCAATTTCACCTCTACTTATAAAAGCGCAAACCTTCAACTTTTTGTATTCGATCAGTTCTAATATAATAATAATACAAGAATTAAGAAATTTTATTGCAACTACTTTGTTAACAATCAACCAGAAGAGTAAATTGTAAATTTATCTTCTCTCTTGCAATTTGATCAGTCTTTTACAATTAACTAATTTCAAAATATATAAATAAACCTTTATATATATTGAAACAAATGGCACACAAATGATTGTTATCAAAATTATCATTTCCACCCTTTTAATCAAAGTTAAGACAATTGTCAAACGCATCAATTCACTAGTTAAATTGTAAACCTAATTTACGGGCAAAATAGGCACATTTTAAGCAACAATTAATATCAAATAATTTTTTCCTAACCAAATTGTTTAACATTAAGTTTCAATTGTCATAAGATTCACCATTTAATTGTTGACAACAGTCTGTCCATTCAATTGACTAAGGAGAAATGTTAATGATAATTTAAATGATAATAATTATGTCCATTTGTAAATTGAATTGAAAACGCGAGTAAAATCAAAATTTTCAATCAAATTTCTAACCAAATTATCCTTTTAATGTAAAAAACCCAAAAAAAGCAAAAAATTTAGATCTTTTTAGTTCATTTGAAAAGTCAAGTTTTAAATGTTGACATTGCAATCCAATTCAATCAATTCAATCTGCTCTCATTAAACAATTGTGATCTTAAGCTTAATTTTCAATCACACAATTAACTTGAATGTGACTTAACTTGCAAATCCCTTCCTCATTCTTTATATTAGACTATTCATCTCCTGTTAATCCCCAAGCATCTTCATCTGACTATGTATCATTAATCCGACCCGAAGATGAGGATCAAAGTTGAAACTAGACATTTTCCTATTCAATTGAAAGACTGTTTTCTTAAAAAAACAACCAAAAAACACCAAAATTTAAAAGCAAATGACCAAACGCCCATCACTTGCCATCAACTTTCCATCCTTGTCATCACATCATCATGATCATCGTTTCCATATATTTCAAATATCCTCAACTCTTTTCCATATCATCATGCAAAGCTCACCAATTCCTTCAATTGTAAACAAGCAACAAAATTATTTTCAATTTACTGTATGATTATACTCAATCGCAATCCTAAATTATCATCAACATTTCCTTTCTCATCACCATTGTATGATTTACCTTTCCATCAATTTCTGTTCTTTCCTTTTTTCCTCTCTTAAATTGTAATTGTATCAAATCTGTTCATTATCTCTTAATCTATGTAGTCTAATGTCAAATTGTTGATTTAATTCCTTAATTGTCGCCGTATTTTCTCCTCACTGTTTGGTCCGTCTTTTACCTTCACTTCATTGTCAATCGTCTCCGTCTTCACCAATCTCTCTGTCCAAAGTGAGCCCAAATTTACCACCAACTATTCAACTCGTCCATCAAACCAGAAGGAATCTTGTTGACCATACCATCTGATTCGTTGGATTAGCTCATCTCTGTTTCCATCTCTCATTGCTTTTCAGGCTAAAATTGAAAATGGAAATTTCGCCCTTTTCCTTCTTTACCTTTCATTTCATTGACTATTCTCAATAATTTACTGCAATCATTATAATTATTGTACAATCAACACTTTTCCCACTTCGATATATTTCATTGTTATTTGCCTTTCCTTTCAAAAACAATTTAGGTTTCCCATAATGTAATCCCGATTAATTGTTTCCCATTTCACCTCTTCACAGATGAACGTACATTTCAATCTTCACGTCTTATTGTCGTTAATCCATCAACCTAAATTGTCAACTTATTTGTTTATTATTGTGGTCATAATTATTAATTACCTCGAGTTTACTAAATATAACTGCTAATTTGAAAAACAAAATCAAAGACAGAAATTATTCAAACTATTTTGTGGCTTGAAAAATAAAAACAACTGTTAAATTAACTCTTAATTTTCTGGTAAGATTTCTGGTTTTATTTATCACTCATTACTCTTTGGTGTTTGCTAAACAGGACATTACCAGACTTTTTAGTGAATTTGGTGCAGTTACTGATGATTATGACGATGATCATGATGCCGCTGATTGATAGGTCCAAACGCTTTTTGTGTGTCTCTCATGCTAACCCAACCCAACCTTTCGCTTAATATTGACAATACTTAAACAACTAACTTAACCCACTGAATCCATGTTGATGTCCACTCCAGATCAAAGCCAGACGATTAGTGAACCAGTTGGTGGCAGTATTAGCACTAGTAACAATCTTAATTGGATATCTCGTTGGTTTAATGGTCAATCATCAAGCAAGAGACGAGCAAGATCTAGAACAGATGATGTTTCCCTTGTCATACCAACCGTTAGTGAAACAATCGGAACAGCTAATAATCAAGAGATTGGACCTTTAATTAGTGCCACTTCAAGTTGAAAATTTAATTTAAAATCAATCAGTAAAATCAACTGAGGCCATAGAATTATTATTACCCAAAAAAACTGGTAAACAAAGCGAACTGGTCAAAAATGGTTTTCATTTATTTTGCTGTAGCTGCCAAACTAAATTTACAATATTTTCAATTGTTGCTATCATCATTAACCATGATGACAATTTTATCCAATTTTATCAGTCAATTGTGATCTCTTCAATTGCTAATCAATCTTAATTTTTGTTTCACCTTAACGTTTTCATCTTTTTATTACTTTAAATGACCAAAATTATCATTATTACTACTCTCGCAATTTGTTTGTGTTTACCAGCCAAACAACATTTATTTTTATCATAATTAACCACATTATTACAAGGTTAATTTTATTATCGGTGATGCATGTTAAATTAAAATTTTATGTTTTCATTTGAGAAAACTATTAAAAATTATAATTTCGCTCTGAAACTATTCTTGTCAGCAATAATAATGATAACACTGGTTAACTCTTTTACACTGGCCGTTAATCTTAACATCTATACAATAAATATAAGTGAATGTATCAAATTTTGGGTTAAACTGTTATTGCGGCTAAACTGAAAGGATCCTAAGGACAATTTTTGCTCAACCTGAAAGGCATGATTGGCCTGCATGTACAAGAACTATCAGAGCTTAATCAGAATCCAAGTTACTGAGAAATTCACTTTTAAACAGAGTGAGGGAAAAACGCAAAACCCAAACACAAAATACAAAACTGACTTCAAGAGTTGATATTTGGTATTGGTTTTTGGTTTTTTCATTATGAATTGGGTCTTTTCAATGATTGATTTTATCCTACTCAGTGAGACGTCTGATCATAGTCATGATCGGAAGGTCCACCTATTTCAGTCATACTCACCACATTTTGGAATCACCAAGTCTATTAATTTTGCTGTAACACATGCTCTATGTTGGAGTAATACATTTCAATGAAATAACTATTAAACAGAAGCTAATTTTTTGCAATTAAATATTTTGTTGTTACTTTTATTGAAAATTTTTTGAGGTAGAAGGTCAAGTTCAACAAGTAATACAAATAAAAATTAAGTGAACCAATTATGAATGCATTTATAATAATACAATCCATAAAACGGATTGAATGAAAAACAATCAATTTTATCAAAACCAGTGGATCAATGAGATGTTATAAAAGGATTGTAAAAGCTGTTTCTCATTAATTTGCTAAATCAGCTCAAAACAGCGCAGAGTAGTGATAAAAAAATCAATAAATAAGTTATTACAAATTAATTAAAGATATCTGGTAATAATTGGTATTTACAGTATATTTTAAATGGGTAAATGAATGTTAAACCAGGATATTGATTAGTGTTAAATGTTGGTGAAACCGGAGAAATGGCAATTATAGTTTCAATTGAGTTTCATCAATAAAGTGGACAACCCTGAAGATAAGCCATTAAATATTTGCCCCGACAATTGTTAACCCATTCAGGCCAATATGAGAATCCATATTTGGCATAAATTTTACGCCAACAACGAACGTCATCAGTTAATTGATCGTCAATCATTTTACCACAAGGAACTCGGCATAAAGAGTCATCAATTTGAGGTCCATTATCACCACAATGTTCACCAACTTTAAACTGTTTCAAATGGGATAAAAAAGACAATTAATCTAAATTGTATTTACAAATTGATTTACAATCTAATTGAACTAATGTAAAGAGGGAAATAAAATGTTGAACCAAATTTACCTGAAATATTCCGTATCGTCTGCCTTCTCGGGTTTCAGTGATCTTGAAAGCATCAAATTTAGATGAATGTTCAACCAGACAAAGTAAACTGGGAATAATGCTCTTTGAAACTTTGTACCGAGTGTAAAGAGACTTTGCCAATGAGCATCGATTCATTTCACGTGAAGAGACTGGAATTAAATTGAACAGGCCAACAATTAGTAAACCAAGTAGAATGGTATTTCCATTGGTCAGTTGATTCACAGTTAAACCTTTAGCATTGATCATGTTGAACCAGAAGTGGAAAGGTTTAGGTTTGAAGAAAGCGAAAAAAATGGAAAGATAATAAAGGCGAAAATTGCAGTTAAATTAATGAACACAAATTAATCCAAGTTTAAATTGTAAACACAAGATATAAATACACTTAATTAATCAACTAGTAAAAGGTGAGAAAATAATTGTCAGCTGGATTGCAAAGGCAAATTTAATGTAAAGCTCAACATTGATCTAAGTTACAGTTAATGCAATGTTTCCAGTAACCGTCTAAGTATCCAACTAGCTGACGATTGGAAATGCTTAAGACCATTTATAAGCATTTAGATGTAATTATAAATAAAGCCTTGATTGCTGAGTACTAATTATAATATTGGTAACTGGTTGCAACCCAGAACTAAAAGGAGGAAAAGACGTAGGCTGAGGTTGAATAGCGGGAAAAGGGAAAATTACAATTGGTTGAAAGAGCGATTCGTAAGGAACGACCCTCATCCAGTTATCCTCATCTTCATTCTCATCTTTATCATAATCAAAATCAGTTCCCAGTTCTGTGTTCCCCTGAGTTCCCCCTTACCTCAGCAATCATCGAAACAATCATCTTAATAACCAAACACTATCATGAGACGCATAGACAGTTGCACTCATTGGTTGATGTTTAACTTTTTTGTCAATCTAAGGTTTCCATTTCAATCAATTGCACTTATTTTGAATTTTCATTCAGTTACTAACCATTTTTGAAATTAACTAAATGGTAATAATGAAGACAGAAACGGGAATCAAAGGTTACTCCAAATGTACTTTCAATTGAATATTTTTCTTTACATTCAATGGTTGCTGTTTCATTTGGCAAGCCTTAAAGGGTTTGAACAAGAATTGGAAATATTTTTTACGTTCTTGTAAATGTTTTAATCATGCAAATTCATTGACTCATTAGTGGTGAGTCATTTCATGTTTGAAAACCAGTGAAAATGATCTTCAATGTTATCAATGTTACACCTCAATTATAAATTACATTGGAGTTACTGATCTTTAACCGGAGTCTAATTCAAACCAGTTATCAACGTCATCATCATTCAACGTGATTAAATTGACTGTAAAGTTAAATGGCCAAAATAAGTCTGATCTAGTGTAACCACGGTTAGTGATTTAACCGTGATTACGCTTTTATCTTGCAAAAAATGAATGCATCAAGAGCAGAAAATGATTGACATTAAACACTTACATTTGTAAAGCTTTGAAACTTCGCCTTATCCAAGTGAAAAAGAAACCAAAAGTCACTCTTAATCATTGAATAATGATAAACAAATTGTATATTAATTATCAAACTAATTGAACGCGATTGATAAACACTGTTATAATTGATGTTATTGTGTGTTCACTGCAAGATTCAACATAAACATGTGTGACAACCTCTCAACATTGTCACGTTATTGTGGGTAAACAAGGCGAACCCGGGAATCTTTTTTTCACAATTTCACGATAATTGCGATCCAATCAACGAGATATCCAATTGTTGCAGCACTTTCTTGAAGTCTAATCAATAAATTGAACCATCAATTGTAAACCAATGATTGCACCAAATGAACGCGTTCCTAATGTTTGTTACATTTAACTCTTCCTTTGAATGAACACTGTAGACAAAAATGTATTTGAACAAAACGTAATTTTGATTCCTTATGAGAACATTAATTTCAAAGGACAATTCGATTTTTATTGTCAACTATCAATATTAACAATGCAATGTTAGTTAAATACAATATAAATGTTTGCAATATATTAATATAAATATAAATATCAAACATGAATCAATATCAATATAGAGGTAATGCCACCTAGTGACATAAGAGAGGGTCAACTATACATCCAGAAGGTTAGAGTGTGAGTTTAGTTAAGGATATCACCTAAAGCAGGAATATCTACTTCGAAATCGTCTGATTTTTCTTTCCTTGGATGGATTGGCTGGTCAACATGTGGAATGGCAGGTAAAGCGGGAACCGCTGGAATGGATGAATGGTCATCATAGTGAGATTCGTGGTGTTTGTTATGGTAAGGCTTTTGGTGGTGAACTACGTGAGCTACTTTTGACCCATGGTGATCAGGACCATTGAATTTGGCGTGTGCTGAGTCAACACTGGCAACACCAGGCTCGTTGGAATCAATCTTGACACGGAAACCATTCTTGTCAGCAACATAGTGAACAATTCGGAGACGTCCATCTTTATCCTTTAACCCATAGGAGCCAGCCTTGTTACCCCAAGCATCACCTGATTCCTCACGATAGTTTGAAGCGCCTTTAGGATCAAGAACGTTGTAACCAAAAGCGTAATTCCCTTTGCCATCTTGTTTTTGGAAAACTTTGGAAGCACCTCCACCTCCATGACCATGTCCATAACCGTGGTCAAAATAGGCGAAAGTTTGAACAGCGAGACAACACAATAAAATGACAATTGATAACTGTGACATGGCTCTTGGTGATTGGCTTAGTTGGTGATTGACTGTCGATGGAAACACGAATGGTTTACAATAAATAAATGAACTGAAAATAAGTTTACAAATTCAACTTTCACTTCGGAAACGGTAAATCCTTGTTGTTCACCTAACGGATGCTGACTGATGACAGTTAACCCGACTTTTCCTGTTTTTATCCGTTTTTCCACCACAATTTGTCTTTCCACTTTGGGCGGTTATACACGTGTTTCAAAGGAGTTTACCTTAGCTTTACTAACTCTATTTGTTTTGAAGTTATTACGATTATCTGATCAATTTTGGGTTTCACTTTGTGACAATTTTCAGTTCAACTTAGGTTAGGTATCAAAGGCGTGGATATTAATTTTGGTGTATATTAGACGTTATTATTGTACCTTATCTATTAGCATAAGCAATCATTTTTGTTAAAAAAATAACCAAACGGAAATCACGTAAATAAATTCGTAAGGATAAAAATCAATCAATAAGCTTAAGACCAGGATTGGATGAAGGTTAAACGATATTACATAATGAATGATTAGTGGGACACCTTTTGCACCAACAATTACTTACGTTCAAATTGATTGGACACTTTTCATAACTGTTTCACCGATCAGCTTGACTGACTCTCGATTTGATCGCTATTGGATTATTGCAACTTATTTATATCAACAATCGCAAAAGATAAAGCTTTGAGCAAAAGTATTGGCAAAATTCATAGCAATTATGAATTACGACGATTTTACTGTTTTTTTAAGGGTTCGAGTACAATTACAAATAGATAATTCACTTTGACACGTTAATTTGAATAGAAGTTTCTGAATTAAAAGTGTCAAATTTTAGACGATTAACATTGAAAAAATAGAGGCAAAAATAAAGTTCAAGTTTTCAATAACTGGATAATGAGTATCTCATAATGAAAACAAGATACGACATTGAAATGGCGTCTAATTAATCTTCAAAAATAAGCTATGAAACTAGCTTATGATCATCTTTTTATTTCGAGGCTAAAATTTTTAATATCTTTCAATACTTTTCCATTAAGCATTGGAGACAATATTTTCAGAGCTTTTGTTTGGTCTGAGAATTTTGGACAAATTACTCACAAATTCTGATAAAAATACTGAACTTATGGCCATGAATAGAAAAGAGTTTCAAAATCTTATTTCTCGTCAGGGAAAATAGAAGTTTTTGTATCAGAGTTTTAAAGAATCGCAAGAGGACCAAAAGCATCAAAATTGTTAAAAAAAATTCCTTCAAAACGAGATTTTATGAAAACTGATTGAATTGATTTTGATTTATGAATTGAGGAGAAGACTATTAAACTAAAAAACAAGAAATCAGAGTTTGATGTTCTTGTCTGTTTAGGGCCATAACTTCATAATATTTATCAGAATTGACTCATTTTTGTGCAACATATTCTTACACCTTTATTTTAACACCTAAATAGTGCCTTTGAGTTTAGTCTAACTGTTAAAATATATTTTTGAATGATTTGTCCAAAACTTTACCGGTCATACTTTAGTATCCTTAATGATGCACATCACATTATTATAATAGTTTCATCAAGTAGTCCAAATCTTTGTGCGTTTAACTTGGACAGATCAATTTACATGCTTGTTAACCAGAAAATTTATAAATTGTGTTTTATCAATACTTTGTGTATCAATCGGAAAACGTTATTTATCTGGTAAGTTAAAAACAAACCATGAAAAGGTAAAAAACAAAGTGTCACGTAACAATCAAGAAACAATTGGTTTACCTCATTGGGTTGATAACCCTAAATTTTTAACGAATATATCAATCAATTAAAATGGAATAGTTCACTGTTCAAAACCTCAAAATTCAGAGTCAAGTCCATTCTGATTGATTAGCAGTGAAAGTGAGTGATAGGCTTAAATTATGGACCAACTACCAATGATGATTTTGTCTTCATGATGACTAAATTTAGATTAAATCAGCTGCGTAATGATTAGCTAGACAATTTAAACAGTTTGTTGTATGCTGAACGACTGAGAAATACAATAATTGTAATATATGTTATGATTGAGTCATGGTAGAAACATTGTTCGTTAAATTGCCTTGTATTAAGTGTTTTAAACTGCTTCTTATTTTCATGATGATTGATGAAGATTTTGAAGGCACCCAAAATGTATCAACAAATTGTTAATTGATATCCATTTCAGGCTTTTAATAAACAAAATGATTGCTCATCTTCAGCTCGTGTTTGTATTGTAGATAATTGACTTATTTAACTTGATTTGCTTTGCGTCCTTTTAACTAACTGGTTACAATGTTGGCGATGATAAAAGCTTTCCAGTTGATAAGATCCTTTTGACTCCGAGTTAATATGTTAAGTGATGAAGCATGGTGATTATGAACAAATCTCGTCGCAACAATAATCAATGTTGGTTATCTCCAGTTGAAATCGAATCACGTTTCACCATTTAAATTATGCCATCATTCACATTCAAATATTCACTTATTTTGTTGAAAGTATATGAAATGGTTTCAATTGAAATGGCCGGACAAACAATCAACAACCTGTGACAACTGGAAGGATTACAACCAAACGATCTGTAAACGAGAAAATAAAATGTCAATAAAGAAACAAATCAATATAATAATATTTTAAAATCTAGATAATCAATGTTCAATTCAACTAGACAATCAGAAGCATAAATTACTGATGTAAACATTGAAAGTAACCCGCTAATGGCTGGTTGATTTTTGTGGCGCAATGTTTAAATTAAATTATTTCTTGATGAAAATGCAATTAATTAGCCGAGAGTATTGAACGATGAATTATAATTGTCCATTTTTTTAGCGGTGAAAAATAATTTCATGAGTAAATTATAATTAAATTAAGCTATAAAGCTGATAATATAAGGTTTGAGTTGATATTAATTGAGGAGAAAGTGTTGAGAACAAGAAAAAAGGTGACATTTTATTTTCAAATTGAAAACGTTATAATTATAAACAAAACTACTTGATCACAATGAAAGGTAAATTTAGTGATGAAGATTGGTTGAGTGATTAAACTTTAATAGCACTTATTTAGATGGTAAATATTAATAACCGTGATGACAATCATAATAATAACAATCCATCTAGATCGACCAAGCATAAAGGGAAAAGATTCATTTGGTTCACAAAATAAAATTGAATGTATGATTATTAAAATAAAGAAGAAGAAGAAGCGAAAAATGTTGGCGAAAACAGAAAGGAAGGATTTCCTCTCTTTCTATTTCCATCTTAAGACCACCTCTTACTCAGTCCTTATTGCCTCTTAATCATATATCAAGCCGTTCAAATGATGGTTTAACCCATAAGAAGCCAAATTAACTCAACAGGCTAACATCACATTTTATAAATTCAGTGAAAACAGTTGATTGTTTAACACCGATTGATTCAAACCACCCAATACTTTTACCCAATTTTCATTTAAAAGTGTCTTCTTTTCAATACAGACATTGAAATTTGTTTCATAAACGGATATCTTCTGATTCATTATCTTCTGCCTTTCTAAGGATCAAACCTGACTCAACAAGGTAAGTCTTTTATTCCCTGAACCTTGCAAACCTTCATCAATTACTGTCAAGTTGCCTATTCACATGGAATCCTTTTCTCTAAAATTTTGAAATTATCTCAAATGACTTGTAAGGAGTAAAAAATATTGATTTAATTCTGACTCAATGGTTACAGTTTACAAATGAAATAATGTGATTGGTGATTTTGTGGCAAATCAGGATCATCTATAACAATACCTGAGGAGTGTCCATGAATCACTGTCTTATCATTTTATAAATTTAGCTCAATAATTCTAGATAGAAAGAAATAATTGTTATTCAAACCGTGTTAGAGTTATGATCATAATTCATGAATCATGGTTATCTTAATCGACAGACTTAAACAATTATTGCTAATATCATATCAGCTGATTACCAGCAAAACGACAAATACCAATGATGTTAATCAGAACCCAAGCACTCAGAGTGTTGATCAGAATAATTTTTCAGTTTTTTTCCATCAACTTTGATATCTAAATGTTTCCAGGAATTGGTTAATCATTTTTATTGCAACAGTTGAATTTAGATGCAACGAGTTAACCGGTAAAACCTTTACGTTACATTGAAGTTAACCACAGCAAAGCAACCATTGATCATTGCTGCATTATATCAAGCTTTTCATGTGAATAGATCTTCTAAATTGCGGACAATTAAGGTTACTTTATTTCGTGATTCGTTTTAATAGCTGACCATTAGAAGCTAAACAATACCTTTAATTACTCTTGACTCTTGTCCATTTGTTTCAATTGAAACCGCAAATTAGTTGCTAAGTTGATACAATCGGACTCTGAATTTCCCTCATTACCATAATTAAAGTGATGATGTTCAGTGCTGCTGATGATTGCGAGCATGATTATCATAATTATGGTGATTGTAGAGTCCACGAAATTGTGAAAGTTTAAATTTTACTTTCGTTTTAACCAATAAAAGGTTAAAAAACTTACAAATTCATTGAACTATCAATGGTTCGGTGCATTCAAGTCGTATTTTTAGACCTTTTCATTGCATGTAAAGAACTTTTTCCTCTCTCTTTCTATTCCTATCATCCATTCATTCCCACCTCGACTCAGTGATTTCATCTTTGTCATCTTCATCTCCCTTCAAATTATTTGTAAACAAATGAAAAGACAACAAAGCTAGTGATTTTAATGAAACTGATTACAGCTAATTACATGGTCAGTGAATGTTAAGTGAAAATAATCATTATTGTCAGCAATTTGATCACAACTTCAAATCAAATTTAAAATTCCAATGTTTCTTTTCACTTTGATTCAATGTTGAGTTTCACTGTTTTTTTTCAGGGCATTTTCATCTTTGAAAAGGCCAAGTCCAAACTATTGAAGTTGATTATTTGTAATGCTAATTTAGAGAAAAGAAATCATTAATTTAATCGAGCTTTTTGATTTAAAGCCAATTCAAGCTTAATAAACGTATTTTTGCCTGCAATTAAACTTTGGGTCTTCAAAGCAAGAAAAGGTCGCGTGTAACCTAAATTAATTTTAACCCAATCAAGTGTTAATCATTGCTACCATTTAATTATGCTCATCATTCTGGCTTACAAGTCTTTAATTTTCCCATTAATTATCAACTAATCATTTTTAATTTTAATTGTTTCGATTTAAATGCTCCAATGATGGTGAAAAATTGAAAGAAAACTGTTTCACATTTCATCGAGCAATCAAGTAAACTCTTCTTTTTCAAAGACATCATCTTATAATGTATAATAAACAATCATTTTTACCTTTCTCATAAACTTTTCTGGACCTTATCATGATAATTGAGTTTAATTTTTTAATTTATCCATTTTCCCTGCAACAGTTTATCCAGTATTAACAATTTAAAAACAAAGCCTTCAAAATGGATTCATGGGTTAGCATTTTAATGGTAATTTTAGCCGCTTTTCAAATGGTAAGTTAACATTTTCATGTTTCTTGTTTAGTAATATTTTTATTTCAATTTTAAATTAACTGTTTAACTCTTTGTATAGATTGATTTGGGCGATTGTAAGAAAAAGGAAGAATCAAATACCAAAACCAACACCGGCACCAATCAGAATGCGATGGGTCCTTGGGGTTCCATGGGCATGGGAATGCCAATGCAGATGCCATGGATGGGAATGATGGGAATGAACCCAATGGGAATGAATCCATTGATGGGCAGCATGATGGGCGGAATGGGAGGAATGGGTGGCATGGGAGGCCCAATGATGACTGGAGGACCCATGAGGTGAGCCTGGAAATTTGCTTGATTTTCACTTTGACTTTCATTTTTTTACCCATAAAAGATTAGAGTTTAAAGTTGACTTTTTTCGTTTTCCTTTTTTCATCTAGTTTTTACGACAAAAGTCCAATGGGAATGCCAAATCCTATGGGAATGGGTGCTATGAGTGGAATGAGCGGAATGGGTGGAATGGGTGGAATGCTTCCAATGGGCTCAATGATTAATTCAATGATGAGTCCATTTTCATCTTCCGCTATGATGCCTGGTTCAATGATGAGCTCTTCTTTCATGACACCTTCCATTTCTCCTGGTTTATCTTCTGGTTCCTTTGGTTCTCCTGGTTTATTTGGTTCATCCAGTGGACTGTCTAGCTTCCCAGGTTTATCCAGTTTATCATCTCTTGGTTTAATGGCTTCAGCTTCATCACCATTCTCATCATCTCTTCACCCTTCCAGTTTTAGCCGTAAATCTAGTTACACTACATTGTATCCAATTTTTAGTCCGTAAGAGATATTTTTTTTATTTCATTCAATGCTTTCATTGTAAATGCTTACAATTTAAATCGTATGTCTTTTTTTTGTTCAAATTGTTGCTTCCAATTTATAATTGTTTTCTTGTGCTTTCCAAATAAGAAATATTTTAAACAAATTGCTTTATTGTCTTGCTATTTTATTTATTTTAATGATCTTGCGATTCCTTTTTTTATATCATTATTTCACGCTCAATTCATAATTTAACAGATTTGAAAGCATCTCAAGATCATTAAAATTATAATTTAAATGCTGTTGCTTACCTTTAATTGTTGTTTCAATCTTTAATGTTGTAACGTTTTCAAACAGACTTATTAAGATACTGTCACTTCTTTCTTTCCAGTGATGAGAAAAAGGAAAACACCAAATCTGAATGAATTACAATCCAATGAGAAATTACATTTGTTATATTAACCTAAAAGTTCTGAATTGTCGTTTCAAAATTATGTGATGACAATAAATTTGAACATAAAAGGTGATAAGAGATATGTGTGAATTGTTCATTCCAAAGCAGTTGAATTTCCCATTGAAAAGGTACAACTTCTCCTTGACACCAGATACATTGTGATATAAAGCCAATTGTCATCATCATTCATTTAATCATCATTTCCTATGTTCACTCAGCTATTACCTCCGTACAAAACACGAATAAAAATCAAGTTTACATTATTTTTTTAAACAAAAAAACAAATATAATGTAGAAACATTTACAATTAAAAAGTCAAACATAAATTTGAACTAAATCAGTCCGCATTGTTAGTTGAATTGATGATCTTTCCTCAGTAAATATCAGCAAGACCGATCACACACAAAATTAGAATCACAATAATTATACAAAAAAGCTTGTAGGACATAAATGTGGTAAATGAAATGGTTTTTTAGATGTGCGTAGCAAGATTTTACGAGCAGTGAATAATACTGTTGCCACACTGAATTGGATGGATGAAGGTGTAGTAGTATTAGATACAAGCAATTGATGGAAAATTAAAATTAATTAGCAAAAATGGTCAGATAAAAGCTATTAATTGATCTCTGATTCAAAGCTTTCCCTCCTGCAGTTTTAATAGGTACTAGCCAGGGGCAAATTTAATATGAGTACTTCCAGATTATTCACATGGCATATTTACGAGTCCAACCTCGTCCCATTTCACAGTATTTTTCCGGGTCATTTTTATAAAGACGAGCAATCTCTGGTACCAAAGGATCGTCCGGATTGGGATCACAAAGGAGAGAACAGATGGAAAGAAGAACCTTGGATATTGTTAAGGCTGGTGACCATTGAGATCGGAGGATATCCAAACAAATACTTCCATTGCTATTTATATTTGGATGGTAAATTCTTGTGGTAAAGGATATTTTTGGTGGCTTGAATGGATACTCGGTAGGAAAGTGGATTGTCAAGTAAAAAATGCCACCCTGGTACGGACTATCGGATGGACCCATGATAGTCGCTTGCCAATGGAATAAATCATCTCCAATAGGCCCAGCTGAGCACTGAGCTGGAGGATCTCTTTTCAAGTCTTCAAGCTCTTTTTTAATTCTTTTAAGAGCCATTTTCTTGCTTATTTACTGTATAACAGGTAACAAGTTCCGTGATAAAGAGTTGAAAATTTATTCCAGTGAATATCCGATTGTCTTTGAATTGCCCGATGAATTCAATTTGCTTTAAAATGATGGTTAATCACAAGGTAAATAAAAAGAGATCTGGATAGAGAAAAAAATAGAAAAATCAAATTAGTACATCTTAATAAGTCAAGAAAAATAGGATTAAATCAGGAACATCAATCAAACCAATAGAGGTTTATGAGAATCAGGTAATATCATTGTTGTGTAAACCATTTTTGTGTACACGCACATACAATACATATTACAGAGTGGTAAGTTGGAAAGATTGGTACAAGGTTGAGGTTAATTAATATGTTGTTAAGTAAGATAGAAGATGAAATGGAGCAACACAATAGGGTGACATTTTGAATTACTAGGAGTAGTCTTTCAATGGGTTAATAATATCAATTATAATTCCGTTAACTCACCATAAATGTTGTAAAAGCTTCTCAATTGGTAAAACCTTATAATAATTATACACTCTGGTGTTATTTTATGATTAGAAGCGGTTGTTAGTGGTGTAGTCGAGAATGATGATTAAATTTGTGGATGCCTATAGATGTCAAGAATCCCAATCGCCAGCAATTAAATCGACAGCCTAATTTAATTGAAACTGTAAAAATGAAAACAGATGAAAACAAAGAGAACCAAACCTTTACCAGTTTTTAGAGTCTTGTATATTTCTTCACTTTCTTTTCTTTCTCATCGATTTTTTCCTTCCCCTTTCTTATATCTTTTATATTTTTGGGTAAATAAAATGTTTTAATCATTGAAACAATCGTTTAATAAGTGTAATCACTGTACTTTACATTTCTTTACATTATTTTAAATTCAGATATTTGGTAAAACGGGAAATAAAAAAATAATCGCAACTTTTAAAAATTATAAAAATGGGTGTATAAACCGTTAGATGACGCTCAGATAGAAGCAGATATTTTCCAGGACAAGCTCTTTCTTTTTTAAATATAAGAGATGAAACTTTCGAGATATTTAACTGTATAAATTATTAACAGTTGTAGTGAAAAAAAGTCAAACATAAATTTTGAACTAATCAACCTCTCATTGTGACTCCAATTATTTTTTTACTTTACAGCAAATATTAGTTGAATCACAATACAAATTTGTTTAATTAGTGAAATAACGTTCTTATTTAACCTAATTTTCTTGAACAAACATCACAATAAAACGTCTATGTTGTTACAGTTGAGGAGTGTTCATTGCAGTCGTTTTACATTGAAAAAGGTCAAAGTCGGTACAAAATAAATGTTAAAAGGAAAAACGTTCAAAAACAAAATTGAGTATAAACAATTAACAATAACAATTATAACTATAATTACAAATGATGAATCTTTGTCACAATGAAAGCAAAAGGCGCCACAATGTTTAGTCTTGATAAAGAGAGGCAAGTCGCCATTAAACATAAGTCATAGTTCAACTCTTTACCCTCTTTGTTTCTCACATAACATGCTTAGATTGGTAAGATTTTGAAACAATTAAACCATCACCTAAACTCAGGATAAATTCAGTATCCCAAGTAAAGTAATTAATACTATACAATCTTTGTTTTGTGTTCAATGGTTTCTTCATTTTCCCATGGATTATATTTTCAAAGTGACAAGAATGATTTCCTTCTGACAGAGTAACCAATTTTTCCTTTGTTATGCTCTTTTGTTTTGTGGTTGGACTAAGGCGTTGATTTGGCCTTTTTTTACTGGCTTTTTATCGTCGTTATTATTGCTGACTGTCTTTTGACTTTTTTGGCAAAGTATGGCCCAGGTAAATGGAGTTGAATCAACATTTGTTCAAAAAGTTGTCTACCTCATTGAACAGATCTCAACCAATTTACAATTTTTCATGGCTTCAGTGTGGAATTTTACTTCAGACAAATTACTTATTTTATCTTTAATCGCAATAAAATGGACTATCTGGTTACTTCGAGGTATTGGATTACCTTCAGCTTACTCTATGGGGAGTACAGTTCACCTTATTAAACACCTTATCAAGACAAATAACACTTATTCTGGTACCCAATATAATTAACTAAGAAAAAGAGCGCTTTTATTGTATTAACAATAACGATACTTGTCAATTGCTGCTGTTATTGCTACTTTTTGTTTATCTGTTCATTGCTGATCGTCATCAGTCACAACATGATCAACATGAGTAGAGATAAAGTGAAAAGAGGAACAAAATCTTGATAATTGTTACCTTGAACAAATAGCGAATCATCATCATTTTCGTATTGCTACCTTCTTTTTTTTCAATGTCTCGGTAAATTGGGATCAACTCGCTCCAACGTTGATGGTAAAGTGGCTGATTGAAGGTTTATCATATTGCTAATATTATTGTCCAATGTTTGACTGATTGAGCGGCCCAAGGGTATATTTACTCTTGTTGTATTTCCTACATTGTTGGCAAAACCATTACCAATATTGTTGTTATTATTATTAGCATTAATATTATTGTGATTTGAATCAGTACTAATGTTGTTATTATTGGTGCTATATCCATTTGACAGGTTGTGTTGGTAATTGGATGGTTGATTGAGACCCGCTTGTTTGGCAAACTCATCTTGGGCTTGGGTCGATTTACGAGCTGCTAGAATAATAAGGGCAGCGCCTAATAAAAATAGCGCAACACCTAGGCCACAAATGATTAAAGTTACGATAAAAATGGGACCAACACGATCTTCATAGAAGATAAATTTCAACAATAAACCAGACAATAAAGTGACACTACCAGTAATCAGCAGAAGACGTCCAATGTGATAGGAGCTGTAATGAGTTGGTAATCTACGATCAACTGCTTGTTCAAAGGCAAGGACACTTTTAAATCCATTATTTGACATGATGATTCTGGAATAATAAGTGATCACACTTGATGATTATCAATGAAGAATCACAAACGAGTTAACAGAGAGGCACTTGAAGTAAAACACTAGAAGAAAGGATAAAATTGTCTTTACAGATGATTCGTTTCTGGTTGATTAATTTGTTTACACGTTCAATACATGGCAAAAAACGGGACCAGAGGAAACGTGAAAACTATCTGCTCTTCTTGACACTGAGTACACTTTATTAACGACTGCTAACAGCAACACTGAGTACAAAGTTTCATTGGTGAAGAGATCATTATTTTGTAAGATAATCAAGACTAGGAATACAAAAAATAAAAAAGAGGTTGGTGTTGCAGTTGATAATGATGAGTCTATGTGTAATTGAATTGAAACTAAACTAACTCTTTTCCACTCACATTTTAACTCTCTCACTTTTTTTCCTCTCTCTCACACTCTTCCTCCCTCTCTATGAGTCTTTTAATATCTACCAACTCACTCACTCTCCACTCATCTAATTGTGTGCATTTATTGATGACGAATGTTTAATAGATTAATTGTATGTGTTGATGATAAAGTATTATGTTATTGATAGTGATCTGTGATTACATCCATAATCAACTGTAACATGTAGTATCAATTTTTGAACTCGATTGACTTGGAGCCTTGGACGTTGTCGGATTACAATCAAACTTACACCTTATTTCAACGATTTGAGTAACTATTGAAGATTATCACTTATTATCAATTGATGAATTACTTTGTAAATTGAAATTATCTTGGTAAAAAAAGGTGTTCAATATTTTCATAGCTTTGGTAAGGGATTAGGTTGATTCTGGGAAAAAAAGATGTGCTCATTTAAACAATTAAACGCATGATTAAACTGATGATTTGATTGTAAGGTTTTTACATGTTGTTGAAGCTGCTCGACTCATTGCAAAATTGTAACAGCTAAATTACAGGGTTAAATCATTTATGAGATTAATTGAAATTTCCTATTTCCTCTTGGTTATGGTTAATTTGGATTGAAATTAAGTTTATAAATCACGCAAATGTTACTCAATATTTTGATCAGAGTAAACCTAAAAGCCTAAACCTTTCAATCAATCAGATTAACCAGCTTTTTGAATAGACTTTTCTTCAATCTCAATGTCACCTAACATGATTGTTATTGTGTGTTTAAGGTGTTGAAACTATGGTTTGATTGACAAGTTAAAAAAGATAAATATTAGGCTAAACATCAAGATTTGTATCATGCATCTTGATGAATTAAGTTAATGGTTAGATACACAGTTTTAGATTGACTATTAAGGACAATAAGGAAGCTTAAGGTGTAATTAGATGCTGATGGGATGCAAAGAATTCACAAGATTCCGACACAATAGATGAGGGCTGGTTGATTAGATAATCCAGTTTCCTTTGGAACTGCCATTTTCAATGCAGCAAAACAATAGTTAATAAAACACGTGAAGAGATAGTGGAAAAAAATTGTTCAAAATCTGAATATCAACAGATCAAATGTCTTGGTGAAGACTTAGCCGGTATATTCGAGTAACACTTCATGAAACATGTTTTGTCTAATTGTGATTTTGTTTTTTCTTTCAGATCAATACTCAACTGCGGTCATAAGTACTTGTAATGGCAAATGTTAAAGTAAAACAATGTTACTGTTTGTTCAAAGGATAACCTTGTTTCGGTGGTTGACTGATGGTCCCACAGCAATGGATCAAGTTAACTGTATTTCAGTTTGGCCCTAGCTGAATATCAAATTGTTACTAACAAGAGGCGTCATCGTTAACATTATCCAGTGAATTATCAGATAGGAAATATTTTAATTTGCTTTCATTCCCGGTTCACATGTAAACATTTATTTCTAAACAACTATCAGTTGGGTGAAGGATTGTCAATAAGTAAACTACAATCTACAATCTGTAATGTAACTGGACTGCAACTAAAACGAGCAAAGCCTGGCCATTTAACGCTGAGGATAAGCATCTTATTGTATCCAAAGAAGCATTATGATGATTTTAATGGGTCCAGAAGTTTCATTATTATAATACCAATGGTTCAAGTGATCTACCTTTTCATCGACTTGAATCACTTAAATTATGCCACAAATCGGATCAATTTGTATTACTCTTTCACCGAAAAGATGATCACATCAATTACTATTTTTTTATTCTAATTTTTCTAATTTTGCTCACATTTTGATATCATTTACCATTAGAATGGTATAAACTTGTATTTACATGTAATCGGAAAATGAACTCGCTCACCAGTTTGATTCATGATATCGTTGTGACTCCAGTGATTAGTGAATTACTCAATGCAAAAGTTGCTCATTCCTCTCCTTATTGGACAGAGCCGTAGACCAGTTGAACCAATTAAGTGGTGATTTCAATTTGAAACTAATTTAAGATAAAATCGTCTTGCATGCTGAAAGAAATGTCCAGTTCGAAAAGATAAAAGAGATTTCATTGTCCAACAGTCAATAATCTCTAACACCTTAAACATTTATCACATTAATATCTACCATCAACTATCTTCATCTCATCCTGGTAAAGTCTCGGATCCTAATCAAGCTTTTTGAATAGGCTTTTCATGAATCTCAATGTCCCATGATTGTTATTGTGTGTTTAAGGTGTTGAAACTATGGTTTGATTGACAAGTTAAAAAGATGAATATTGGGCTAAACATCAAGATTTGTATCATGCATCTTGATGAATTAAGTTAATGGTTAGATACACAGTTTTAGACTGATTATTAAGGACAATAAGGAAGCTTGAGGTATGATTAGATAATGGTGGGATCATTGTTAACTCTGTGAACGGATAAAGCTTTCAGCTCTCATATTTTGATGGTTTTTATTTTTAACGATGATGATCAACTTAAATCAGTCTGATTATTGAATGCAAAATTTGCCAACCAAAATCTAAAAGTATAATGTTATTAAACTAAATAATATCCCAAGGTGAACGGAAATGGAGTAAAAAATCATCATAATCATATTGAAATTGAAATAACCTTGTTTATGGTTGTTATTGTTACCAAATTATTGTATTAATGTTGTATTAATAGTTGGGCTTTCTATTTGATTTGTATTGGCAAGGAAAGAGAGGAGTAACTCACCAACAGAGTTGATAGCCTTGAAATGGACTAATCTGTAAAACAATTAGTTGTCAATTAGTCAATATGTTTTGAAAACAATGGCTACTCACTGTTGGAGGTTGAATCACAAGTCACATTTACCTGGTTGACCATTGATTTTAGGGTTTGTGGTGATAAGTGGAGAGTATATGAGAGTTGGTAAGACTTGAATGAAAAGCCATTTGGTGATCAAGATATTAATATCAATAACATGATGGAAACTGCCAATTCAATCCGTTGTAAACACGATAACTTTAAAATGGGTTTATAATTGTACTTATGATGTAGATTATCAATTTGGTAATACACCTAAATTAAGCATAAATCATTTTATTATTTTCATCGTTGAAAACAATAATTCTGATAGTAGATGACATTAAATTGTGTAATTGAATCTGATGTTTAAGATTTACAGCTCAATAATGATTAAAATAATAATGCAACAATTTTCCAATTTTACACTTGAATAGCCCGCTTGTGAGTTAAAGAGACGGTTAGCAAATCATTGTCTTTGATTTTTCTTTCCATGCTTTTTGCACTTCAATTTTTCTCGGCTAACTTTAATTACAATTGATGGAATATTGATAAATTACAAAGTAGTTATGATTGATAAGAGATTTTCCTCAATAACACTACCTTCATCATTATCATCTTTTTCATCTAATCTAAACTTTCATCTCCTAATGATTAACTCAGGAGACTACAAAACCTATTCTAATTTTCTTCTTGGAATTCATTGGTGAAATTATTATTCAAGTTTAATCAACTATTTTTGGTGATGTTATCTCAAGTTGGCAGCAAACTTTTTTGGAGATGGACCGGTAGAGTGAGATTTATTCACACTGACAATTTACCTATCATTGAGACTGCTGTTGATCGTTCTTCTGATCTTTTCAAGGTAAGATTCTTTGTTTTTCCAAATAACTTATCCATTTGTAGATTATGTTGGTGTAAATTGTATGTTTTATACCGTTTTCTATAGCAATTTAATTTATTTATTGCTCTGTGCTCATTCTGATGGTCTGTTGCTTTTTTAATAACTTAATTTACAGGAGAATTATGAACAGTTAAATGGAGCAACAACCAGATTAAAACAATTGTTACAAAAGATATCTCAAGGTGGTGGAGAAAAAGCCTCGACTAGACACACATCCAAAGGCAAATTATTGGTCCGTGATCGTATCAATGAGCTTCTGGACCCAGGATCGCCATTTTTGGAACTATCACCGCTAGCGGCTTATCAAGTCTACCCTGATGAAGAGGTTCCATCAGCTGGTATTGTTACTGGAATAGGAAAAATTAATGGTATTGATTGCATGATTACTGCCAATGATGCTACAGTCAAGGCTGGAACTTACTACCCAGAGACAGTTAAGAAACACTTGAGAGCTCAGCAAATTGCTTTGGAAAACAAATTAACGTGTATTTATTTAGTCGACTCTGGTGGCGCTAATTTACCTCATCAAGCTGAAATATTTCCAGATGTTAATCACTTTGGACGGATCTTTTATAACCAGGCAAACATGTCTGCGTTAGGTATACCCCAGATTGCTGTTGTAATGGGAAGCTGTACTGCTGGTGGTGCCTATGTTCCAGCCATGTCTGATGAAAATATAATCGTTCATAAACAAGGAACTATTTTTCTGGCTGGACCACCCTTAGTCAAAGCAGCATTAGGTGAAGAAATTTCCGCTGAAGATTTAGGTGGTGCCTCATTGCATTGTAAAGTTTCCGGAGTTACTGATTATCTTGCTCAAGATGACCGTCATGCTCTCCAATTAGCCCGTAAAGTTGTCTCCAATTTAAATATTAAGAAAAAAGGCTGGTCAAGTAATTATGATGAAGACATTGATGGACCGATTGAGGAACCTTTATATCCATTAGATGATTTATATGGAATTGTTGGTGAAAATTTGAAACGCCCTTTCGAAGTACGTGAAGTAATTGCTCGGATTGTCGATGGAAGTCGTTTTGATGAATTTAAAGCACTTTACGGAGATTCTCTAGTTACTGGATTTGGTCGAATTTATGGTAAAAAAATTGGAATCGTTGCCAATAATGGTGTTCTTTTTTCTCAATCAGCTTTAAAAGGAGCTCATTTTATTCAGCTATGCAGTAAGCGAGGTATTCCACTTTTGTTCCTTCAAAATATTACCGGCTTTATGGTTGGTAGAGAGGCTGAATCTGGAGGAATAGCAAAAGATGGTGCAAAATTGGTAACTGCCGTTTCATGCGCCAAAGTTCCTAAGTTTACTGTCTTAATTGGAGGGTCCTATGGTGCTGGAAACTATGGTATGTGTGGACGAGCTTATAGTCCAAGATTCCTATTTACCTGGCCTAATTCAAGGATCTCAGTAATGGGAGGTGAACAAGCAGCTAATGTTTTAGCTACTATCGCTGCTGATCAAAAGCGTCGTGAAGGTAAAGAATTGACGCCGGAAAAAGAAAAAGCCATCAAAGATGTTATATTATCTAAATTTGAATCAGAGGGTAGTCCATACTATTCAAGTGCTCGACTTTGGGACGACGGAGTTATTGATCCTGTTGATACACGAAGAGTTTTAGGGCTCTGTTTACAAGCTGCTTCGAATGCTCCTATTGAAAAAACTGATTTTGGTATTTTCAGAATGTAATTGGTTAAACAATTAGAGGCATTAATTCATCATTACCAAGAAACAATTATATCCATGCGTGTATAAATTAAATTGTTATTTATGAATGTTGTTTGGACGCGTTCTTTTGTGCCATAATTTTGTTGCATTAAATTGTCTTTTCGTTAAATTTTGCTTAATTATGACTAAAAATCTTTAGCAAAAAAGGTTCGAATATCATTGAATTCAAAATTTTAACTTTATTATAAAGAATTTAAGATCGTCTTCGTGGTTTGACCAGTCATTAAATAATTTAATCTTACTTTTTGTTGCAAGTTCGCCGAAGACAAAATCCATATTTTAGAGCCAACTACGATAAATAGTCGAACTAATAGTTATTATTGTGATATTAAAAAAGATGTTAGATAAAATGTCAATAGTTTAATATATGGTGATCTATTGGGATAACAAACGTTGAAAATATTAACCTATGAACTCTTAAACATGTGATCTTGTCTCGTAATAATCTCTCAGCAATAAAATATTCGCACTTGCACTCATGAAGTTCAATCAATATCAATACAATATGTAAAAATCTTGAAAACCTATTGACGGGAAAATGTGAAAAGTCGAAACATCTTACCGAAACTTAAGAGTCCATTTTTCATCAAAATCAGCATAGATTGCGATAAGAAAGTGACCAACGATGAAAAATTGATGTCATCATAGGATTAGTTCAGATAATCTAGAACTGTGAAGGTTCACGAAACAAAATTAAGAAATTTAAAATTAGATTACAATGATAAATAAGCGTATAAACAGGTCATTATTAAATGACTATTTAACAGCTAACAATTGTAAGAATTGTTCAGGATTCGAATCCAAATAGAATACCGATCCGAATCTCAACGGACTCACCCAAAGCGATTACTCAATAAAAGTATTCTAATGTAAACAATATTCTTGAATATCATAACAATCCTTGCTTGTTTGTTTTGGTAACTGCAGAGTTTAAGTAAATTAACTTGTATAACTTTATTTCTTACAGTTTCCATAATTGTCTATTTCAATAATAATGGTTACCCCTTTATTTCCTTCGTTATCATTGAACCATGTTGAGTCTTATTGGTTTTCTGGAGACAAAGTAATCGATGAAGATGCTGTACTAACCAATCTGGAAAAGGAACAACAAACTCATTTTGCTGAATTAGTTCAGAAATATGCCGAATATTTACCTCAAGCACAGCCAAATGAACCTTACGAGGAAGACGAGGAAGAAGAAGAAGAGGACAATGATGATGATGATGATGAAGATAGTGCATCAAATGGTAAGATAAAGAAACTATTTTTTCGGATGAATTGTTCAGTTTATCGTAATTTTCTTAGCAATTCTAATCAACCCTTTCCTGGTAGATTATAGTCTCTGTCCTAATTTGCTCTTCACCTCTGTTTGTAACAAATCTATTCTTTAACCAGAATTGTTTATGTGATTGCTAGTGATCTGTTCCTTTGTATGTTCTTGAATATGATATAGTAAATATTGTGGTTCTAATTAAAAATTTATTTCCTTTCTTTTAGATGATGATAACGATGAAGAACTTGAAGTAGATGAGATGCCATTTAATCCTGATTCACCGATAATCAACATCTCTTAATTCATATAATGTGTATCATTGCGTTAAGCTCGCGCTAGCTTGGGTTACAAAAATGATATCCATGTTTTCAATTTTGAAATTATTTGCGAAATTTGTAAAAATATCTATAATTAACAAATCAACTTAAATTTCTTCAATCTTTAATTAAAGTTCATTTATTTCAATAATTATCGTTTAATTTGTACAAAAATAAAATATTGACCACAAAAAAACTTGAATTTGCCGCCCTTTTGTTAAAGCAAACTTAAACATCTGATGAGAAATGTGGTGATTGTATCAAATAGTTTTTCATAAACTTATTCTGTTGTTTATTGTTCAATTATTTTTATTATTAACGGTTGAAACATTGAAATTCATCATGCGAACCTATGGTGACAGGCCAACTCCTTTTCAATTAGATGATAAAGATGGAGAGTATTATTACATTGGATCAGAGGTATGTCATTTCATCTCAAAATATTGTTTACTATTTTTGTTCATTTAAGTAGTAAAATCTTTCCAATAATTGATTTGAATTAATCTTCATCTTAATCACAGGTTGGTAATTACCTGCGTATGTTCAGAGGATCGTTATACAAAAGGTACCCTTCTTTGTGGCGTCGATTGGTTACAGTTGATGAAAGGAAAAAACTTGTTTCATTAGGTAAAATTTTCTTACATTTGTTTAGCATTTAAGGTCATCTTCTCATGCATATTCTTAATTTGCTTTATTTTTTTACCAGGCCTAGGTCCTCACAGCTTAGCTACAAATATAACTTTACTCAAGGCAAGTGAAGTTAATGAGATATTTGCTGGTCGGGATGAAAAATACAAAGCTCTGTCTATATCTAATGAACCACAAACACAAAAGTAATATTCCATCTTCCGTCTTCTCCATTACTAGAGTATCCATGCATCTTATTAATCGACTGATTTTCTTACAGAGAAACGAAATCAAAACGAGCTAACTGGGTACATGCAACATTACCGAACACTAGTCATCATCTTGATGCAGTTCCATGTTCAACTCCAGTAAGTCGCAATCGATTATCTGGAAAAAGAATTCGTACTTTTCCTTTAGCATTTGATGATTTGGATCCGGCAATTATGCATGAAAACGCAAATCAACCTGATTTCCTTGTACCGATTAGGCTTGATATGGAGATTGATGGACATAAACTGCGAGACACTTTCACCTGGAATAAAAATGGTGATTTTCTCTTTTATTCATTACCAATTCTGAGAATCTTTCCCTTTTTTCAAAAATTTTCATCCATTTATATCTTTCTAATAATTTTAATATCTTTGATTGTAGAACAATTAGTCACTCCTGAGCAGTTTGCTGAGGTACTTTGTGATGATTTGGATCTCCCAGCTTCAGCTTTTGTGCCAGCTATAGCCCAATCAATTCGACAACAGATTGAGTCTTTTCAAACTGATACTCTTCTCGAAGAGCAAACTGATCAACGAGTCATTCTTAAGGTTTGTTTAGCAAATTTAAATACAATGTAATAATTTCTGTCATCCGGAATTACACATAACTAATCTGACACAATTTTTTCTTCAGTTGAATATTCATGTTGGTAATATCTCTCTAGTTGACCAATTCGAATGGGATATGTCGGAAAAAGAAAATAGTCCCGAAGAATTCGCATTAAGACTCTGTGCAGAACTCGGTCTTGGAGGAGAGTTTGTTACAGCAATTGCTTACAGTATAAGAGGTCAATTATCTTGGCATCAAAGGACTTATGCTTTCAGGTAAAGTATAAATTCAAATCTAGATGGTTCCAATACTCTTCGATGTTGAGTTTTAGTAATTTTCGAGGGAAAAGTTTTTTTTGACAAAGTGATTTAAACGCAGTGCATAATTTTTGTTTTTATCCTCTTTCATTCTCCATAGTGAATCTCCATTGCCTACTGTAGAAGTACCTTTCCGGAATCAATCTGAGTCTGATCAATGGTGTCCATTCCTTGAAACTCTCACTGACGCTGAAATGGAAAAGAAGATTCGTGATCAAGATAGAAACACCAGACGAATGAGAAGATTGGCTAATACCGCACCAACATGGTAGTCTGATACTAAAGACTTGATACACTCACCATTTCCACTTTTAATTTTTTTATAGCCATTTAATCTTTATGCGCTACTTATTCTTTAAATCTCACACAAACTGACGCATCAAATCGTTTCATCATATTACCTGTATGAATCGACGCGATTGTTGAAAATAATGAAAAACCAAATTGATTATTCTCAGCCATCAAATTATTTTTTACACTTTTATGACCGTCTCTGTATATCTTATCATTTCAACTGTATCTTACGATATTAAATAAACATTAATTTGATTCCAATGTTTCTTGAATTCAATTTGTTCATGATTGAATTACTAATAATAATCGACTTTCCAATTGATGAAAATGGATATTTCACAAACCTAGAATGTAATTTCCCAACTAAAACGTAATTTTGTAGAAAAATTTAACAAATAAATAATTTATTTAAATCCAAATAAGTTAATGTTTAATCAATCAAAATAACCAGAAGATTTTCAGTGGATTAGAAGGTGAACCTCTTAAGAAGTGAACGAAACCCACAGATGAGTCTTTGCATGATTATGAAAACTACAGCTGTTTACGTATAGAGTTTGTTAAAGTTTACTAAATCATAGTTTGTAACTTCTTGCTGTTTGCTCATTAATTTATTTAAAAGTTATGGCTGAATCCAAGAAATTATCGTTTGAGACAATAATGACAGGTTAGTAATCAAATTTATTTAAATAAATGGTTTTATAGTTTGTGTTACATTGATTTTTTGTTTATTTTCCAATAGTCTTAATGGAGAAAAGTGACGATGAAAGGAAAAAATTCATCGAGGATCATCAGGCGTCCATCAAGTCTGTTATCAAATTAGTTTGTCGTCTAATTATCACCGGGGACAAAACAGAAAAAATTAATTCTTTAACATGTTTGGCCAAAATTAGTGAAGTCGAAGACAATTTAATTTTGACTAACTTACTGGAAGATACAGCTGTTTATGAAGCAATTTTGAAGCCAATCGTTAACTTTATACACAATCGTGATCATCCAGAAGCTGATTCAGAACAAGTCGATGTAATTAAATATAGCCTGATAATTTTGGTGAATATAACTCGCCAAAAAAACTGTGTTAAAATTTTCCATTCATTGTTGGATACAAACAAATTGCTCTCCAGTTTCCATACAATCCTAAGCAATGTTGTTATGATTTCTGCTACGGACAAATTTGAACCTTTAATTATTGAATTGGTGTTCAATTTATTATTGAATCTTTCACAGCCATCTCTGATTTTGGACGAAATTCAAAAGAATCAGGATAATCTGGCATTGTTAATGAAAGATTTGCTGAATTTTTTTGAAAAATCAACTTGTACTAAAATCAGAGTTTGTTGTATTTCAATCATCGTTAACTTTTTGATCCACGGCTCTGCACAAACAACTCTATTGGATTCCAAATCAGAACTGATTACCAAAATTTTATATCCCTTGGCTGGGCCTACCGAAGTTGAATTTGATGACGAAGACATGGCACAACTACCACTAGATTTACAATATTTGCCACCTGATAAGGAACGAGAAGCTGATAATAATGTCCGAGATGCTTTGATATCTTGTTTATTGCTATGTTGTAACACAAGAAAGGGAAGAGATTCTCTGAAAGATCATGGTACTTATTATATTCTTCGAGAATTACACAAACAAGAAAAGGATCGCTCAATACAAAAAAGAGTTGAAGATGTTGTAGATATTCTGACCAAAGAGGAAGAAGAATACAATCAATTCCCTGACCTTATGTCAACTGCAATACCTGAACATTTGATTGGTAAATTTGATGAGATGGACCAAACTCTTTTGAATGAATAACCAATAAAATCTGTTAAAATTGATTTCCACGAAAGAATTGAATTTTTATTTGTTCCATTTGAAAAGGCCGCCTAGAATTTCAACTCTGAGCAATGTTTTGATTTACAAGGCTATGACAAAAGTGTAAACAGTTGAAAGTCGTAAGGTCACTTCTCGAAAAAATGATTAATTTTAGACCGTTGTCTTCGTAATTAAAATTTACTCGTTACCTTTTCTTTAATACTTTTTCAATTTTAACCATTTCTTTGAAATATCTAGATAACATTTGGTAATCAATCGATCGTAAAAAAATGGAGATTGGAAAAATATCAGGAATATTTTCTTCATGAAAACTGTAGCTGAGCTCACGGAATTGGCCTGTGCTCATATTTCTAAGCTTCTTTAAATGGTTATTTAAACGTTCGTCATTTTGGCTATTCATCTGAGTAAATAACATCTTCAAAAAAATCATCATAACTATTAACATTTTAGTCTAACAATTGTAAATCTATCTTAATGCCACAATAACCATCATTAGTTCAATATATCTTAGTTTGCTCTAAATATCAATATTAACATCACAAGGTAAGATTGAATAATTTATAAGGCAACGGTCTTAAATTTTCATAAACATTTGAATTCAATAACTCAATCATTCGAGTTTTTTGCTAATAATTCTTGAGACAAACGTCTGAAATCTTTCCATCCCGTAAGATTTTTAAGTATGTTGGAGCAATGATCGAGTACGATGCTTTTAAACATCGCCACTGTTCGATTGCAACCCAAAAGTCTTCGAATTTCCTTATCAAACTCATTCCTCTTTCACCTAACATTTTATCAATCAAATAAAGTTACATCCACGTTTGTCATATTGCCATAGTTATGATTTATCTGTTGTGATGTTTTCATTAAGATTATTTTTCCATGATGTGCATGATTCTCATTTGAATCAATTTTTCCTTTGAAAAGCTCTGTATATAAGCAGAAAGTATTAAATATCACGCGAAATCAATCAAATAATAATTAAGTCTGATATCTTTCTGTCATCTTTCTTGTGAGTCATTGTATCTGTAAATATTGTTATGCTAGTAAATCGTTAATTCAGTGGTTTATTACAGATTGCAATTTAAGTATTTATTCATTCCGATATTTTTTTGTTGAGTTTTTTTTCACTACCTTTGGTTGTAATGAAAGTAGAATTTATTCAAGTTAATTGCATTTACATGAAAATTTAATCATCAGTAATTTTTTTCTTTCGTCGCCTTGGAATTGTTTGATTTCAAAGAAAAAGTGATAATAAATTCAAATAGAGATTGATGACAGGAAGGATGAAGAGATTAATAAAAGATCTATAAGGCTTCCGTATGGATGCATTCAGTTTCTTCACGACTAGCAACATCGGGTGATATCCAATTACAAGTTGTGTAGAAATTGTATTATTGCTCGAACTTTCAATGGTGTGCCGGTTGATAATTAGAATTCATTTTGAATCCATTCCCAAGAAGTGGTAAACTTTTGAACCAAGAAACTCTTTGCTCTAAACTATCTCTTATTTGTCTTTCCTCGGCATCTGAAAACTTGAGAAGCATAGAGATAGCTTTGATTAAATGCTTTTGAGACTCATAATCTGAAGTCGATACAAATTTAAACACAACAGTTCTTAAATATTGAAAACTAATGTCGTTCATCAGATAGTTCATAGAAGTTTGAGAATCTGAAAGTTGACGTTGATGTTGTTGTTGTGGTTGAGGCTGCTGTTGATCGGCAAAACCATTTTCTGCTCGAGATGAACCATCATTTGTCCCGATTTCATTATCATGTTGACTTCCAGGAATATCAAAAAGTTTACTATCCAAAGTTGATCCTCTCTGAAAGCTTTTCCTTATATCATTTAATCGTTGTTGTTGTAATCGGATCGTTTTATTCTTTTCTCTTAAAGATTCTTCTAGTTCATTAATACGTCTCTGTAACTTTTCAACCTCTTTTTTATGTAGATCACCATTAGAATTGTTCGTGTCATCTTTATTTGAAGGGGGCAATAATAAAGACCAGTTTCCATAGTTAGATTTGATGCCATTAGCTTCTTTGGATTGTTCACTTGATTCCTTAACAATAGATTCTCCAACCAGCTTAAGCAGCTTCTCATCTATATAATCAACTTTTTTTTCGCTTGTTGAACTTTCCAGCTTGTTAGATAACACTCTAATCTGATCGCGTAACCTTTCATTTTCCCATAAAAGCTTTTTGCGATCATCAAATTTTATGGAAGATTCATCTAGTTCCATCGAGGAAATTGAGGTTGGCTTGATTGAAGCAGAATTTAAAGCTGACTCGGGATGATTATTGCTAATATCAATAGAAGAAAATGATGATTTGATGACCGGTCTTGATACATTCTTCATCTTCTTTCTTTCCTTCATCTCCGAGTTATCATTATTATGGTTTAAGAGTGATTCATCACTTATCTGCTGGTTAAGACTGACATCATCACAATCCGATGACAAACTGGTAGATTCAGCCTTTTCAGATTCTAATTTTATTTTCAAATTTTTAAACATAATGGTTAACACAATATTATCACATACGGTAGCATTAGAGCAAAATCTCAAAAATCACAGAAAGGAGCACAAGAATAAAAGGCAGATAATCCAATCAAATTAACATAGTTGGATAAATGTTGGTGAAAATGTTAAGAAAATAATACAATAATAAACACTAAGGAATTGTATTTCAGTCATTCATTTTGTTTTATTTTATTTAGGCACAAGGTTTAATGGTTTAATCATCACTGTTGATGTTCACAAAGCATCGATATGTCATATCTGATACCATATCAATGTCAGTCGATAATACTCGATACTTTAGATTAAGTACTCGACCAGAGTCGAAAACCAACCAAAGTTAAATCTATTCTTCGATTTTACCCATTTAATACTCGCCATCCAATAGACTTGCACCTAAACTTAATCAAAATCGCGAAACTCTACGAAAGAAGACCTAAAGGCAAATTGCTGTTGCTTACCGAAACGGTAAGTATAACCAGTAACTGTGAATATCTCCATCCGACAACAAATAATCGGTTACTGCTGGTTACAAAATTGGAAGCGCTGACATTTGAAAGTTGGAATTGTTATTTTTCATCTTCCAACACTTCTTACTATTTCAATAATAACAATAATTGCATAGCGAATTTTTGCAATTATAATTTATACAAAGCTCTAGAATTGATGAAAGCTGAAACGCAATCTTCATCTACTGAAATGTGAACACTAACAAACATTTCTTTCGATCTACCGATAGTTGAAACTTTGAATCTCATAAATGTCCAAAGAATGGGCTTCCATGGCATCAATCTTGATAAGAAGCTCTTTGTAAAACTGTTTTTATTTTACTAAAAATCGCAGTTGTTATTAAAAAGACACAATTATCTCATTTACCTCATTTATGCAAATCGACACGAATAGACAAAAACGGGTATAAATTGATTTCTTTCAGATTTAGATTTTGTTGGTTTGTAGTAACATGAGAACTGATTCCATTCATGTAATTTGAAAGTTTTTCTCATGAAACGTCTTTGAGAAAATTGCGATAGAAGTTGAAACTTCGATTCTTCTTTTGTACAACTGTGGAATTAGATTTGCTCATCAAACTCATTTTAGAGATGTGACTTTTGATGATTAACGAGAAAATGCACTTATTTTATGAAATACAACTTTTCTTTTCCTTCAAAATGGGTTAGTTCGATTTTTAGTTGAACCAACCACATTCTATAACCGTAAGAGTTAGCAAGTTAGAACTTATTATTATTGTATGAAAATTGATTGCTCAAATCATGGTCGGAATACTTTTTTAGATTTGACGTTAGTTATCTTGATTTTGGCCATTGGTCGCAAAACTTCAAACCTTGATACTTCGAGAATGACATCATCTACAATAATCATTCTTTCATTAATTTGATTCTTTACTAATTGCTAATCCAATTCACTTCAATAAATATCTATTAACGCATTTTGGTTATGAGTTTTGGGCTGTAAATGCACGGGAAACAACTAATTTAACAAAACAAACTCATCTCAACCAATATCTAGCTAAATTGTACAACTTTCTGGTTAAAGTTACAAACGAAATGCAAAGAGTGCTGCAAAAGACTAGAACATTTGAATAAAGAGTTTAGACTTGGTGAGGTTTTGTAGGGATATAAAAACTGAATCGATAGAAACTGTTGAAAAATTTCTCAGGTTAATAGTTTGCGACAAAATCGTGGTTAAACTTGAAACTTCGATCGCGTTTTGTGCAATTATGGAATCAGATTATTTCATCAAACTTATTTTTCTTGATCAAGCTTTTAATTGTCAACCTGGAAATGCACTTATTTTAAGAAATAAAACTTTTCAGTTTCGACAAAACAGATTAGTTCGATTTTCATTGAAACTGACCGTGCTCGGTGACCACAATAGTTAGAGATCTAAAACTTATTATTTGTCGACAGAAAATGTCTGCACACCTAATGACTCGAATAATTTTTTCAATGCATAGTTAGTTCGCTTGATATTGGCCATTGGCCTCAAGAATTTTAGCCTCGATATATCGAGAATGGTACCATTTACAGTCATTATTCTTTCACCAATTTATTTCGCTAATAATTATAATTCAATTCACTTCAATAAATTTCAATTGGTGCGTTTGGTCTATGATTTTCAGGCTGTAAATGTACGAGAAACATCTTATTCAACAAAATAAACTCATTTAAACACTTATCTTGCTAAATTAACCATTTTTCTGGTTAAAGTTGCAAATCAAATACGATAAATACTGCCAAAGGCTCGATCATTTGAGTTACAATTTTTAACTTGTGAGGCTTTGTAGAGAAATGTAAACTGAGTCCATTGGTACTGTTAAATAATTCCTACGATGATCAGTTGTCGATAAAATCGAGGTCAAAGTTGAAACTTCGATCGTCTTTAGTGCAGCGCTGGAAGAAAATTTTTCCATTCTACTCATTTTACTGGTGTAACTTTTGATGTTCAACCAGAAAGCTGTCTTATTTTGCGAAATAACATTTTGCGTTTCTTGAAAACAGATCAAATTATATTTTCAGTTAACTCGATCGATTTATGGGACCATGAGTTAGAGATCAGAAACTTATTATTTGGGGATAGAAATTGTTCGCACAAATCATGGAATAAATAATTTTTTCAATTTAGCTTTGGTTCTCTTGGTATTGGCCATTGGCCTCAAGAATTTTAGCCTCGATATTTCGAGAATGGTAACATCTAAAGCAATGGTTTTTCCACCAATCATCAGATTTTATTATGAGCTTTAACATGATATGTCTTAATATCAGAAAAAATCTGAGCTGATTCATTTAAGACCGAATATCTTTCTTGAATATCCTAAGATTTATGTTTTGTTAGCCATTTACGTTTAAAAATCAAATATAAAATCTAACAACATAAGCACTACACTATTTGCACGAGCTTGGATCAACTAACACTCCCATATATTTTAGCATAATATGAGCATTTATTCATAATAGAAGCTAATGATTGGTGAAAAAATTATGACTGTAGATGTTACCATTTTCGAAATATCGACGTTTAAAGTTCTATGACCTACGATCAATATCGAGCGAACTAAAAATGCATTGGAAAGATTATTCAATCCTTGATGTTGGCAAGCAATTTCTATCGACAAATAATAAGTTTAAGATCTCTAACTTAAATGGTTGCGGAATACGGCCAGTTTTACTGAAAATCGAACTAATCCGTTTTGTTGAAACTGAAAAACTTTAATTCTCAAAATAAGAGCATTTTCAGGCTGAGAATTAAAAGTCTGATCAAGAAAATGAGTTTGATGAAAAAATCTGATTCCATAATTGCACAAAACGCGATCGAAGTTTCAACTTTAACCTAGATTTGATCGAAAACTACTGATCTGAGAAATTTGTGTCTGTGTGAAACAGTGTCTATGGACTCAATTTTTATGTCCCTACAAACGCCACCCAGTCTGAACTATGTACTCAAATGTTCGAGCCTTTGGCAGTACTTCTAGCTTTTAATTTGCAACTTCAACCTGAAAATTGGTTAATTTAGCAAGATATGTGTTTAAATGAGTTTATTTTGTTGAATAAGATGTTTCTCGTACATTTACAGCCTGAAAATCATAGACCAAACGCACCAATTGAAATTTATTGAAGTGAATTGAATTATAATTATTAGCGAAATAAATTGGTGAAAGAATAATGACTGTAAATGGTACCATTCTCGATATATCGAGGCTAAAATTCTTGAGGCCAATGGCCAATATCAAGCGAACTAACTATGCATTGAAAAAATTATTCGAGTCATTAGGTGTGCAGACATTTTCTGTCGACAAATAATAAGTTTTAGATCTCTAACTATTGTGGTCACCGAGCACGGTCAGTTTCAATGAAAATCGAACTAATCTGTTTTGTCGAAACTGAAAAGTTTTATTTCTTAAAATAAGTGCATTTCCAGGTTGACAATTAAAAGCTTGATCAAGAAAAATAAGTTTGATGAAATAATCTGATTCCATAATTGCACAAAACGCGATCGAAGTTTCAAGTTTAACCACGATTTTGTCGCAAACTATTAACCTGAGAAATTTTTCAACAGTTTCTATCGATTCAGTTTTTATATCCCTACAAAACCTCACCAAGTCTAAACTCTTTATTCAAATGTTCTAGTCTTTTGCAGCACTCTTTGCATTTCGTTTGTAACTTTAACCAGAAAGTTGTACAATTTAGCTAGATATTGGTTGAGATGAGTTTGTTTTGTTAAATTAGTTGTTTCCCGTGCATTTACAGCCCAAAACTCATAACCAAAATGCGTTAATAGATATTTATTGAAGTGAATTGGATTAGCAATTAGTAAAGAATCAAATTAATGAAAGAATGATTATTGTAGATGATGTCATTCTCGAAGTATCAAGGTTTGAAGTTTTGCGACCAATGGCCAAAATCAAGATAACTAACGTCAAATCTAAAAAAGTATTCCGACCATGATTTGAGCAATCAATTTTCATACAATAATAATGAGTTTCAGATCTTGAAATATTGCGGTCACCGAAATCTGTTGGTTTAATTGAAAATCGAACTTATCTGTTTTACAGAAAACTAAAAATTTTATTCCTAAAAATAAGTTGATTTTCTGGTTGATTTTCAAAAGTAACATCAGTACAATAAGTTTCGTGAAAAAATCTGTTTCCATTATCGTACAAAACGCGATCGAAGTTTCAACTTTGAAGACGCTTTTCTCAACAAATATCGATCACAGAAATTTTTAAATCACTCAAATAGATTCAGTTTTTGTGCCATTACAAATCAACAGAATTTGAATTTGAAAGAAATCGATTTACACCAATTTTGCCCATTTGTACCCAATTTTGATGCGCACAAATGTTACAATTGTGTCAATAGTTGCTTTCAATACATAAACAACCTAAAAGCTTTGCAAGTTTCAACTTTTACCTCGATTTGCTCGAAGAAATCCTTCAGCCATTACTGGAGAGTCAAAGAAAGTAAAATTTGTGCGATGAAGCTCTTGAGGTATTTCAATGCAACCTCGTCAGGGAATTTAAGCGTATTTTTCCGATTTCTTATCTAACTCGCTCGAACTGCTAGCTTTAAAAGTCAATCACATCAACTTGAAGGATCTCAATCAAACTCATCCATAAACGCAACATTAGATAACTTCGAAGAGTTGATTGATTTTATACGGTCATATTGGGAAACTTACCAGGCACTCACCTTACTTATCTGACAATTCAGGTAAAAGTAGCTCTACAGATATAGATACAGAACTATACAATCAAACGATGTTTCCACACTGTCTATAACTTGAAAAACACATGATGATGCACATGATTCTCAGACTTGACAAATGCTAATTTAACCTTAATTTTTCCTCTAATGCCATAGTAAACGATTCCCACAAAGTTGTCTTCATTCATTTGATTCTGAATAATAAAAGGTAAATATCTTTCACAATTTCAAGCCAATGGTTCATCTTTAAGCACCTTTAGCTAAGCATCGGTTAAACCTCGTTGAGCCCATTTATCTCTCAATCACGATGCTTCAAAAGCTGATTCATTCCTTTTGTTGTAAAATGCTAAAGATTGAATTCCTGTACTAATCATTGGTAATTGTACTCGAGTGGGTGAATTAATTATCAAATTATATTAACTTGACTAGTGTCTCTTGACTGTCTATAATGCTTTACTGAGAATTTCAATAATCACTTTGACTATTTGAGATTAACTCGAATGCTTTACCTTGGTAATATTACCTTTGAATTATCGCATTTGCTGGAATTGCTGGATTCGCATTATCATGCAGATATTTTCATCTATTTCTGGTTTTCACTTTCAATACAATTGTATCTTCCTACGCTAAGGACAAAATTGTTTAGCCATCTGAATAGTCTCGATGCTCTCTGGTGGTGTTAATTTGTGTCAAACTAACTTAATCAATCCACCACTTAAGGAACCCACACAACTGGCTAACGATATTATTTGATAACAGGTATAATTTTGTTTTCATATGCTTTCACTCAATTTTAGCCTTTTCCCTATTATTGCTTTTTTATATTATTAATAATAAACTGTTATTAGAGTCTCGCAATCATTATTTCATCTAGAACCTGGTCTCTCGATTCATATCAATGTTTATGTTTTGCTTTTGTTTTGGGTTAAATGAATGTTTCCTTTTCGTTGGCACTCTCATCTTCAATTGTTAATTTTGCCCATTTAACGTTATTAATTTTTGCTTTTGGACTCAATAATCTGTCTCACAGGAAATTTGATCAACATGGCTTACATCTGATGAACAAAAAGGAGTTTAATCAGCTAAAAATAAATTAAAGTTCACCTCTATGACACTATTTATAGTTGATCCTTTTGCTTTTCAATTAAAATCTATTGGTTCAATGTAAAAACCAATGTTTACAAGCATGAAAGCTGATCAACAACGGTCAGCTGAACAATCAATAGTAAGCCTAATGATTGAATGGCTATTTTTAGACTTATCTAATTTTGAAGATTTGAGTTTCCTAAATTGATGAGTTTCAATCTTTTAATTAGACCCAAGACAGTCAATCAACTGGTTGTTGAATGGTGTTTAATGCGTCTGCGATTTTCAATGTTGATCCATCCAACAGGATGAAAGGTTACAGTTTAAGGTAAATATTTCAATCAAATCAATTGTCCACAATTTAAATCATCTGTTAATCATTCTGGAAACAGTAAACATGTTTTACGTTGTTGATAATTTTTACCTGATAAAAAGTCCTTGACGGGATAATGATAACTATCTCAAGGTAGGTCAGATTAGTTTTTATTTTCATTTTTGAAGGAAACCTCTATGAAATAACCCTGAGCCTTTCTGATAATCTTGATCATGATGATGATAAAGGAAGCAGGGAATACTATGATGATGATGTTAATGATGATTATGATGATTCCCTCAGACAGATAATCATTGGTTGCCTCAATTTCTCATGGTTATCAGAGGAGGCTTTTTATTTTGCTTTGAATTTTGAGGCAGACCTGAAGCAGACAGCATTTTAAGCCTCACGATACAATTACAATAATTGTATATAAATATAAATATATATATTTATTAATCCTGTTGATGAGTAAAATGAAAAGGCCCTTTTTAACAGATGATAATCAAGATGATAATGATGATATCTGATTGACTATCAAGGCGCTAGTAATAAGCTTAAGGGTTATCATTTTCAATTTGAATGGTTCATCTAGTCTTCAATTGATTCACCAACAGAAAACCATTTTTACACATTTCTTTTCATTCTTATAACCTGTAGGCAATTGAAATGATGTTATAAACGTCATTCCATGGTCTCATTATTAACCACTAACCACCTCCTTAACAGATCATCATCATAATCGTCATTTGTTAATCGTCACAATCATCATACAAAAATCATTTCTGCCATAGCGTGTGAATACGTTCAAATAGTCACATTCACTTCAACCTTCAATTTGTATTTACTTGAAATTGCGTGCAATGTTTATTTACCTTTAATCTTAAAGCTAATTGTTAATTTGATTAGTAAAGCTGAGCAAACTTGAGAGGCACTTTTAATTTAATATTAACTGTTGATTTATAAGCTAAAAAGAGATACAATTTTAAATTATATTCGGGTTATGGTTTAACTTGGAAATGCTGATTATTTTATCCTTCAGTCAATAGACGAGTTTCAATTTTCCTGGTTCCAAACAGTCTCACTGATTTACTTAATTGCTAAATAATTATAGTCGATTAATCAATTGAAATTAAGATACCTTTTTTGTTAATTATCAGTGTCTATCCATTAAAATGTTTTATAACTTTGTAACAATCATAATAATTGGTTTTTTCACCATTTCAAAAGTGTATTGAGTCAATTGTAAAAATTGATTTGAAATAGTTACAAATCTAACAACATTGATACTGGTAATTGTTTCAATTGAAATCATTCAACTATTTGCATTTTAAATGGAGAGATAATTGCAGTTGAATAAGATGGATTCGTTACTAAATTAATGATCGCTGAAAACCTATGTTAGCGTTTAATAATCGTTTCATTTTTTGTTATAACATCATGTAGCGAGAGCTTCAAATTTATCAGCAAATACATGGTTATGATTATTTTACCCTGAAGGAACCGGGTAAAAGAGCAAACATTATAAAAGCGAAACGTAAATAAATTGCTGTGATTAGCAAAAAACGCCAATTATGTCATATAGAGTAAGAAAAGAGTACGTAAACTGGTACACTGGCATCAATGGTAATTCATAACAGTCAATTATCATTTAACCGATTGGTAATTATTTTTCCATGAATATGCTGTTTGCCTCAATGGATGCTCAGGTATTTGAGCAATTTATCAAGCATTAGATGCACCATTATTGTCAATATCCACATGTGTATCACAATTATTTGTATGTTGTACCAAATGGAGAGAAATTCCTTAACAGTTACATGCTAGTCTTTGCTGTAAAATGTGTAAAAACCTATCAAAAATAAAAAATGAGATAATATTAATAACATATTAGTTTAAACGTAAATGCACATACACGTATTTGCGTGTTTTAATAATTTACATGGACAATCATGTAAACTGCTTAAGGATAGACAATCATCACTGTATCATCACTGTATCATCCAAGCCTTAGGGGCTATTCCTAATCCATCGATGGGCCTCTCTCCTTTCCTCTACATTCCTGGCATATTCTCACCTTAGTCAATCAACAAGACGTTACATTTTGTGTCTACAAGAGGGAGAAGAAAATGATAATGTTAGACAAGAAAGAAAGCCAGGAAGAAGATGAAAAAAAGAAGAAAAGAAGAGGAAAAAAGATGATGAAGACTATAATAGTGAGAATTGAAAAATCAGAAAATGTGGCTTAGTTATTCAAGAGGAAAAAGGGCAACGATCCTAATGATGATATTGAGGATAATCGATAATTTGTCTTTTTTATTTTCTACTTCTTTACTCATTATCTTCTTCTTCTTCATCATCTTCTTCATCTTCTTCTTTTTCGATGCTTCTCCTTACCTTGGTTGTGAGCCAATTCTTAGAAGATATGATTATTTGATTAACCTTAAAGCAAATTTGCAAAGTCTTTATCAGTTTTCATCATCCTTTTTTTATCTTTAGCTTGTTCAAGACCAGAAAATAATTAATTACAATCATGTGGTACATTATCCTAAGCATCTTCTCCTGAGACAACTTGACGCCATGGGAAGAGTAAAACTTGAACATGATGAATGGGCTAGCAATGGTGATGACGATGACGATGAAGGTGGTTTACCTAAAAATGTTACCTTGATTCCAAAGTTTATCCAATATCCAGTGAAAACACACAAAAAAAGTGAAGGTTTGCATCTGTAGCAACGTTGTCTTGGGTTCATTGAATTTCCTTGGGATAATAAGAGACAACAGCGAGCCAATATTTAGTTCACCAAGATCATCTGATTCCATGATCAACTCAATAAACTTTCATAAATCAAATATGAAATAAAATAAAAAGAAAGATGAAAGACACGAGTTAAATAATGTTATCTACTTTGATTTATTTTATCAGAACAAGTCTTCTTCTTTCCCTATACAATCGACTAGTCTTGTCAATCAGATGGATCAGAGCCTCTATCAGATACTTTACCGTATCGAGAGTCATGAGATTTACTTGACTCTCTCTTCTTGTCGATAGCCTGAGAATAGGGCGGTTCATGATGATAGGATGATGATGAGGAGAAGATGAAGATGGTACTGATGATAATGATGATGGCCTCTCTTCTCTCACTAACTGAGCCCCGGAGGTTCATTGGGTCACCGAACCCTAAGGGTATCTGATACCTTGACAAACCCCCAACTCTGATACAATCAACTTTTACATAGATTAACTTGGAGCACTTTTTCTCTGTGAGATAATCAAGGAAGCTTTAACTATTATCGCTTAGCTTATGATTAATATTATCTTATTGATTATTTTGTACATCAATTTTAATTTACAATTTAATGCCAATTTTCGTTTAAAATTGGCGCTCAACCGCGATTACAATGCAATTTTACAATCAACTGTCTTTAAGCAAGACTCTTGATTCAAGACTCTTGATGTTTGTGTCGTCACTTTTATGCATCTCATTATTTAAATTGTATTTTTATCTGTTAATTAACGTCATTCCAATTATGTCCCCATCTTGGTAATAAATTTAACTCAATCAGTCCCGTTAAATATCACTGATTGATAGGTTTAATGCGTATTATGGTTGTAAAATTTACACTTTCCTTCTTCTATATGGTTATGTGCTCTGGTGTGTTCATCAATATGGATGGAATCGATGTTCAACTTGGTTAAATATTATTGGCAATTTGAATAAAATGATTGGAATCAACTTAATTTTCCTTCTTTTATGCATAAATTTATTGGTCTGAATGACAGAAAAGTACTCATGATAACTTCGACCTTCAATAATGTCTAAGACAACTTTTTTTAGCCTCTATCAACGATCCAATCAGACTTCAAGTCAAGGTAATCAGTTTTTTCATTCATATTCATATTTATATTTTCTTTTTTCTCTTTAAATTCATGATTATTTATTTCCAGTTATTCTAGAAGCATGGAAGCTAAGAAAACGAAGATGAAATGGCAGCAAAAAAAAAGATGGAAACCAGTGATTCAAGAGGAAAATTAAGCGGGAAAATCATCAAGATGGTGGTTACAGTGATGCTTACAGAAAGGTAAATTTCTGAAATTCACCTTCTGAAACTAATGAAACTTGATTCACTATAGAATCAACTTGAATCATGGAAACACATTTACATACATTTATATAAACTAATTGCTTGTCAATTCTTTTTCTTTTTTTATTGTTTATCTTGTTCTTGATTTGGTTCAATATAATTATTAACTAACTTCAACTATCAATCAGGTATGTTTTGTTGTTTTTTTTGAGTTTTTATTAAAACAAGTGCTATCACAGTTTATTAGTACTAATAGTAATATAAAAAGCCTTAAGATATTAACCAATTTTGTATTATTACTACATTATTAGTATCTAAAGTGATCGCAACTTAATTATCATCAGATTGTTGCTTTGTAATTGATTAAACTTTTTTCTTTTCTTCATTCAGATAAATCTAAATTAATGCCTTTTCGATTGGATTGTAACCAGAGTTGCGTCACACAGTTTCATTATATTTGGTTTTTTATTCGTTGAATTAAATCACAGATTGATTCAGTTTTCATCATCTTCTTTTTTTGCTGCTTTTCATCCTCTTCATCTTCATCTTCAACCAGTTCGTAATTGTAATTCAAATGTTCAAATGTCAAGTTTCAATTTTAACATCACTGGAATCGTCATTCTTTACGCATCCAACCTCTGATTACCACCGTAATATCTGATGAAATGTTTCAAATATTTTAAATTAAAAAGCCGCAGGCCCTGATGATCAGCTCAAAAGATAATTAACTTGCAATTAGCCACCTTACATCGCTATTATTTTATCATCCTTATCATCCCAGTGATCCTCATTATCATAATCATTCTCGTGATATCAGTTATCCTGGAAACGTAAATTTCTATTTCTAAATTACATTGTATAATGTTGAATCACTCGCCTACACTTTACCTGGTTAAGATTAATTTGTTCATTTCTCTTCTTTTTGTTCTAGTCTACGGGATTTGGTTTCATTCAACTTTTTCAACTGAAATTCAACCTTTTCAATTATCTAATTGATTCCAGCTATCAAATTAACAAATGAACTAATCCTTGTTTTACAATCTAGATCAATATTTTGCTCTGTATATCAAATCTCATCATGTAAATCACCAAGGAATCCTGGCGTAAAATATCCTACTATTTCTATAATTATCCGAAGTAATTTAGCGTTATTGGCTTTCTTTAATTCACTCCAAACAAAAAGCGAGGAAACAAAAAGTGGATGAGAGAGCGATCAGCGTCAACGCAAAGGAATTCGTTTAGTTTACACGTCAAAAGGGAATGCAGAAATAATAATATCAATAATATTCACCTCCTCAGGCTCAATCACTTTTGATTATTAGCGATCGAATCAGAGTCTATATATCGAAATTATTCATTTATTCTCAGTTTTATAGTCAGTAATAAGCAATCGATTTAGGAAAGCAATTGAAAATTTCATTTGATTTAAGAGTTAAAATGAATTATGTGGTTTAATAATCAACAAATTATCCGAAAGATCATTAATCATGGTAATCATAGAGTGCAATTATTATAGTTAACTCAAGAGCTTGTTAACGTTTTGTTCCAATTGATGAGGATTCACATTGTGATAATATTTGGAGTAAAGAGAGAGTTTATTTTAATTGTTAATCATTATTTTTATTTTATTTTTTCGAAAATCATTTTATTCTTTTGTTAAATTTTTAAAGTTAAATTTGGCCATTTCAAGATTGAGTTTCATTTTTGATTGTTAGTCATTAAAGCAGCCATTGAAGGTGGTTCTTTAAATAGATGATGAAGTTGACCATTGGGAGTTGATAAAACCTAATGGCATTAGCTTAACAAAATACATGTTGTTTGAGATTAAAATGTGAGGTTTTGGAGAGAAGCGATGAACAATTAATTTAGGCATTTCAACAATTAGAATGAAGTGACATAAAAAACAAATTCAACAAAACTTTGGGACAAATTATACCTCATTTTGTGAGAAAAATTGCGAAGGTGAAAGTGAGAGGAAGAAAGAGCAGCAATAGCAGCGAAAAAAAGGAGGGAAAAGGCAAAATGATAGCTTTGGATACAATTAAAAAATGGATGAAAATTAAGTATTGTAGAGGAGGCAAAAACAATTGCATGTATGAAAAAAAGAGCTTAAAATGATTATGATAGAGCAATAAATAAAATGGGTTGGATGTAAAAAAAGGAGAAAGGAAACATTGAAAAGGAGAAGGATGATGATTAAAACTGGAAAAAGGTGTCAATCACACAATCAGTGTTTTTTATACACAGTTGACGTCGGTGGTTAATTCATGGTTTTCTTGTGGTTTTCAGATCAATCTGTGTTAATATGCACCATGGTGAGACAGTTGGACTGGTAAGTTGATGTTTGATGCAAAAGTTGAACTCTTTGATTCTTCAATTTCCGAGCTTTAATCCTCTTTGGATATGCTTGGTTGTTTTATCTCTTTAGCTTTGTATTTCGGTAATTATATATTTATATATACTGTATCATGTATTAATATATATATATACTTATATATAGTATGACGGAAAGCTTGAGAGAATTGACTTCATTCAAATTAATCAAATTAAATAAAAACCTAAATTAATCTAGTAGCTAATGTCATTGTTTATCAGGCTGGAGTAGGAGGTAAATTAAAATAGAAACAAAAGAAAAGAAAAAGAAAAAGTAAAGTTAGATTGATTGTTTAAAGATTTAGGGTAAGCTAATTGGTTAATTGGTTTGAAATAAATTGCAATGAATTAATTTATACCTGCGATGGATATAAGAATGATTCAATCTTGTCTTGGCCATATTGGTTTTCAGCAACACAGTAATAGCTTCCCATATCATCCCAAGTTACTTTTCTTATCAACAAATCACCATTGGATAGTATATCGTATTTACCATCAACGGTGAATGGAGTTAATTCCCTACCATCAGAATTAATCCATTTAATCTGCGCTTCTGTTCTACCATCAGTACGGCAGAATAATATCACTGGGGAATCCAAGTTTTCTATACGTGTATGTGTCCACATGGCTATTTGGGGCTTTTTTAATTCATTTGCAGTGCATTCAGTGTAAGATGAAAATGGTGATGATTTCAACGATGGTAGCACCTTGATTTGACTTTCAGCAATTATCTTTTCATGATTGTTATCAGCAACACAAGTGTACAATCCAGTATCCTCGGGTTTGACACAACCCAAGTATAATTTGGATCTAGTTATACTTAATCCGAGCTCAGGGGTTTCTGATGTATCAACAATATCTGAGTTGCCGTAAATAGCTTGATCGTCCTAATAATCACAATAATAATTCAAGAACAGAAAATAATAGTGTCAACAAATTAATCTAGTAAACTTGAAAGCAAGACATCGAAAACGGACTATTTTAGCGCCAAGATAATCAACTAACGGTAAGATAATCTGAGAAAATAATTTCTAAAAATTGAAATTAATGAAACTTACCATATTAATTCGTTGGCCGTTCTTAAGCCAGATAATCTTAGGTGGCGGGCTGCCAGCAGCTTCACATTCTATCGTGTGTTTTTGTCCAGCAATTAAGATTAAATTACTTGCAGGTTCATGCTGCCAACGTACATAAGGCTCTCGACGGCTTTTAACATGTTTTGGACGACTTTCCTGTTGATTATGTTCAAAATGATGCAATATTAATAAATGATTTCTAAAGTGAAATATTTGCATAAAAACTAAAGCTTTCTGAATATTTGGTTAATGAAATGAATAGAAATCAAATGAGGAAACTAGAAATTTTAAAAAATACTTACCGAGGCTGCTGATGAGTCCAGTTTTGGGTTGAAAGGTTTAGCTGCTGCTAAACTAATTATAACTAATACTATTAATCCGATAAACATAGTTGAGAATTTCTTTTTCAGAAACAGATCACAATTGAATAATAACAAATAACAAAATCCAAATAAAGTAGAAAGAAAACAATCGATGAGTGTTGAATGATCTAATCAGATCAAAAAATGACAAGTCAAGTCCGGATTAACACAAGAAGATCAACTGTTTTACCGCGCTTGTATTAACCAAGTTAGATAAAGAAAAAGGTGAAATATCTTTCAAAAAATAAAAACAAATCTCTTGATTAGAGAAACAATAACTTTAACGATAAAAGGTGACCAATGAGTCAATAAAATGTGTGTGGATTGAAAATTGTGATAAATAAAAAAATTGAAACAAAAAAGATCAGTTTAGCTGATGAAAAGGTTGTTTACAAGTTGAAAGGAATCGTCCAAATGATTCCGTTTGCGAAAAATCATCTCCCTTTAAACATCCCTAGGGGAAGGAGAAAGAAGATAGTGAGAGAAAGGGAGAAAGATTGATAGAGGAAAAGAGAGTAAATTAGAAAGAGAATGATGAAAAATGATGATAAAACTGCAAAACCACGTGGATTATAGGGAGCAAGTGAGAGAGGCCGGTTTGATGAAAAGATGATGATGATGAAAATGTGTAAAGAAAGATGATTGCGCGAAAAGATAGCGAGGAAAAAGTGAGCATGAAAAAAGTCAGAAGATGAAGAGAAAGGTAAAGAAAGATAGAAAGAAGGTAACGAATAAGAGTTTAACTCGTCAGTGTCTTGATGATGATCATGTTGAGGATAGAATTGATTAAAAGAAGAAAAAAGTAAAAAAAGACTTTCTTTTTTCTTCTTCTTTTCATGAGCACTCAAATATTCACAGAATTGAAATCTGATTTCTTGAAAACAAGTTTGAAGGATCATGATTGATAACTGGCCTTTGTCTGTGGCATTTTTTGTTCAAATTAAAACACAGTTTATAGTTGAAGTCACCTTATTAGTAAGCAAGAGATAAGAAAATGAAAAACAAAAGAAAAGAAAAGAAAAGCAAAATTACAAAATGGCTTCACTTTTCTTAACCGCCATTAGTCCAAGTAACATTTGAGTAAACAAGAAACATGTCAGACGTTTCATCAACCATTACAAAAACAGTGACAACTGAAAGTTATGTTAGATTGATTGGACTTACATGATGTTGATATTTTTCGTGATCATTATTATGAAAAATAAAGGATAACTGGCCAGCGAAACCATCGTTTAATCACTAAAAATTATGGTATTTTGTTTACAATCAAAATGTTTATTCCCTTAGGCTGTGATGGTTACTCTGTAAGAAATAAAAAATGGATTGTATTCCATTTCGCATCGCTCCTTTAGGCAAATCTCGTGAATTGCTTCAACATTATCCATCAATGTTACAAAGTGTACGCTTCACCATCAATTTACTCATTAAGACCACTCATCATCAACAACCTGACCATCAACAACACTATCGTAACTTGTGACTCTCTGTTTATTTGCGTGAATATCGTTTGGTTATTATCCCTTTTTTTACCAGATTGACCCTTTGGATTCACCAGGATTCAATCCAATGTGGATCCATTTGTGGATTAATCCAAGAAATGGAGGAAAGTAAATTCACTTTCCTGTTTCATCATTTTTTTTTGGTTTAATCGGGTCATCAATTTATCATCATTCTTATCAACTTTTGTGAATCGTTTTTAGTTGTGACCTTAACACCTTGCAATTCACCTTCTTCCTCAGTTTTGGATTCAATTTATTGCCATGTAATCGAGCAACAACAAATCAGTGAAAAGGTTCCACTTTTAATCTTCAATTTTTCTTTTCTCTCATCTTGTGAAACATTTACCGATGCATCTAAGGAGGTCAACGAATCTCAGGGTCTGTCTTTTTATTATTGCACCTTGTTGGGACAACAAATTTGAAATAACATCATTTTTTGTGTCTAGAAAAATCAAGTGTCGTTTTAAATTTAATCAAGTGACACAGTGATTAACAATCTTACTTTTTTTGCTCGTACGTGATAAAGCAAGCATACAAATTGAGGGTAACCATTAACAACTATTTACTATGAGAGTCAACCTCGAATGGATTGAGATGAGATTTGTTTCATTTTTAATCGTAACCAGCAACAACTTGTATTAGGTAAAAGCCAACTTGTGATAAATCAAAAGGACAAAATAAACAATGATGATATGTTGATTGGAATGAGATTATTTTAATTGTTAAACTAACAAATGTTAGGCTGACACATCCATGATAGTCACATATATAACATAAGTAAAATGTTTCCACCAAATTGACTAATATGATTACGTGCCTTCTCTCCCTCACTTGATATTAACCAATTCTTAATTGACTGACAAATGATCAACCTTAACAATCAATCCAAATATTCATCTTATACTTTTCTGCAAGCTTAATGGAAAACTAATGGTTAATTTGGCACCGGTCATGATGATGGTAATGATTAATGGTTCAATCAACACTAATATAATGTGGAAAAGTGAATTTCAATGTTCAATTAACAACAAAAATACAACTGTTGCAAGTCTTAACAGTTAACCAGTTCAACTTGAAAAATGTTGAAAAGCTTTTTTGATTACTTTGGGCTCAGCTGATGAATTTGCTAATTTATAATTTCTGTTATTAACCAATTATACATGGCAATAATGATAATATACTCAAGATGATGAAGGGGAAAAATGTTACAATTTTTGCTATAATAATGTTTAATCAGGCTAATTATTAATTATGTTTGACATTTAAAACAATCGGAAAAGATTTCCCCTTTGCATTTTCCAGTTAATTCCAATTGTACCTGTGAATTTACCATGATGAAATGATTGACGAAACATGATTCAAGTAAGTTACAATTCCCACTACCTGTGATTAAACTTTGAGGACACTTGAAAAAATGTTTCATGTTTCAATTGAATCAAGGACCCAATCTGATTAATATCAAGAGATATCATCATTTATCGGGCTTTTCCTTCACTCCAAATACAACTTGAATTACCTCGATGCTCAATCACCAGCCTCACATTGTCAGTGCAAATTATGGCCAACTAAACTCACACCTCTGGAAACATTTAATAATCTAATACAAGAAGGAAAATAATTAACTGATTAAAGTAAGATTAACGATATATTGATATTTCCCTAATCAAAATAATGTGTCTAATTATGACAGTTACAAGCATTTAATCAACAAAAACTTGAATGACATAACCTAACATCATTTGGCATAATCAGTCAATGAATATTGTTCAATTTAACTTGCAAGCAATCAATTTTTTCCTCCTTGGTTTAGATTACCATTTGTAATGTAAATTAAACTCACAATTGATCCTAAAATAATCAATAAATTGGGTAATTAGCTGTGTAAAAAGACGCAAGACTTTAACCTGAAAAAAAGGAATTAGCTTTCACTTTGAATTAAAGTTAATTGAAAGACTGGTTTATTTGGGTTAATTATTTGGTTAACTATGTGTAAATTGATCAAGTTTCACTAATTGGGTTGACAATTGATTGTAGTTGCTCAAGAAATCTTTGGGTTACCGAGTTTGGATTTGACTTTGGGTGACTTAACCAGAATTGGGTTTAGTTTCACAGTCAACCTAAACTGACCATTGAACCATTTTAAATGATTTAGATTGTGGACAAGTTTTAATTGAAATAACCTAATCAGTTGATGATCCTTTTAACAAGTATCAAGTTTGTTATAAAAAAAAGTATGATTTTGATTGGGAATATTTTTTTCCCTTCTCATCTCTAGTCATTTCCTGATGATGATAATAATTTGTTCACTTCGAAAATTCCATTAAAAATGATCTTGATGATGATGGTGATGGTTGATTATGATTATGATGAGGACTGACTCCATTAAATTACATTGGACTAGAAAAAGGAAATATGTATCCATGTGATGTTAATTCAATTCACATGATGATGTATTATTGCTTATGAAAAGATTCCTTCTCATCTTATCTTTCATTTCTATTTTTTAACAGGTTAAATAATGAATAAGGTTTTAATGATAATTGGTCAAACCAGATGACAATTAAAGTATATCAAGTGTAAACCGGATTACCAATCAACAAAGCCCCATGTGAGTATTTAGTTTGTTAATAGGAAAACAATAATCAGTTCTTGTCAGGGTTACAGGAATCAACAGATTTACAATCGTTACTTTCATTTATATTTATAAATAATAACATTACATGTCTCAAGGTCTCAACCAAATATTGAATAAGTTCAAAAATAGAAACATTAACTGATTTGATTTAACCAAAATAACTTGCTAATTAATGCTTCATGTTGTTGAGAGTTTAATCAAATGATTAATCAACCAGAAATGATCTTTCTAACCACAAATTTTGTTCACTTCATTACAGGTCTTTTTTTACATCTTACATGGTCTTTGGTCTTTCCCTGTCTTCTGGACCACTGGAAACTGGAATAATCTTGATTAGCCGTTGATTGTTTGCCTTATTTCTGGTTAATCATTGATGGTCAGAGGAGCAATAACAAACATCTGATGATCCCTTGAAAGTTGATTGAATCGGCTTGGTTAATGTTCACTTGTTTTGATTGCAGCTTGAAATCAACTCTTGGATCAACCCTTGGATCAACCCTTGGATAAAATTTCATTCAATTCATCCAATATTGGCCAGTTTTAATCATTTCTGTACGCAATTCAAACCATGTATTACAGATGTCATTTTATTGGTTAAACAAATTGTAATCCCAGCTAGCTAGGAATCAATTGTTTCCAAGTACATCCAACGCTAACTGAATTTTTCTGGTTCTTTTCATGTAAACTTAAAACAAAAGCTATTAGATAATCTTGAGTTAATCATTTAATCAATTAACCTACCACAGTGTTGATTATTGAAGATTTGATAGAATCTAAATTAAAAAGATTAGTAAAGTTAGCAATCTTTATGATTATAATCAAAGTTTGGATTCATCTCAATGTTTGGTTTGGATTGGGTTAGTTAACAATGATTGTTATTTTAGATGTTGCCATCCATTTGAAATTCATAAATTGAAATGAAAAGCATTAGCAACAATTTTTTTTTCTTACAATTAATGTTTTGTTTTAATCGTTAATGAAATTGACAACCTTCAAGGCACATGGATACATGGAATCAGATACAATTTTGGTGTATTTCCAATCTGTAATCATACAGATGTGGTTAGAAGAGTCAGATTACAAATTATATTTTAATAACAATTCCTAACAAATTTGGCTATTCAATCAGTAAACCGTTTACAAATTTACATTTTTTTTGCTTTTCAATGGTAACTCTCATTTAACCGGTGCGCCATGAAAATGAATTGAAATTGTTGGAAATTTACTTTGGTAATGCCAATTTAATGAGACCCATTGAAATTACAATCATCAACATGATGACTTGTTTTATCAAATTTAAAAAAGTAATGGAATAGGTTAAAAACTCTATAAACAAATGACTGGGTTATTTTGTACAGGATCATGTGTTTGTTAAATGACTGAAATCATCTTGATACTTTTTCATATCATTCAAGACTTTGTCCAATTTGGTGACTTTTCTTTGGCCCTGGTTGTTTCTTCTTTTGGGCCCTGCTTTAGGGAAATCATTGTACTTTTCGGGTTGCGGTTCCTCATCAAAATCAAATTGATTTGGCTCCATTGAACTAGGCTTGCTTTCATTTGGTTCAGCGATCTGCCTCTTTTCAACCAAGTTGTTTGAATGATCAGATGATGACCTTTTTTCTGGACATATCCATTTCAGATCCACCAAGTTAGATGTTTCAATTTGTTTGTACAATGAAGATATTTTCAAACCGCTTGGTTCCCATAATTTGGTCCCACCAGGTTGATTAAATGGTATGATTAAATTGTTGGCTACATCATATAACTCCTCGTCGCTGCATTCAACCAGCCAATCCTCTTGATTGCTTGCATTGCCCATTGCTCGGATTCCTGGACCTTGAGAAACACTAATTTAAAGTTAAAAATGACACAAAATGAAACAATTAACTCGATTAACGAGATTAAAAATAAACATTTGAAAATCAAAATTGATAGTTTATTTAGGTTGATAACAAAGATGGCGCTGTGGTCAAACATGTGTTTTCCAAAATTACGAATAATGTTAGCCAACCAAAATAAACTCTTTATTTGTTTTTAATTAAACAACTCAATCAGTTATTCAATTTGTTATTCGTTGTTTGTATAGTTTTTATATCGTATTGACCTGAAATGTCTTATTTAGTAGGACGCTCGAATCTATCATGTTTTTTTCGGTTGGCTTTGAAACCAAGATTATTGAGTGGGAACACAAACTTCATGTCGACCGATGCAAACAAGGTAAGTTTAAGTGATTTGTACCTCAATGGGTCTATTTATTTTATTTAACCTATTCTACTTTTTTGTTTTTAGGTAGCAAGTGCAGATAAAACAGATGAAACAGAGGATTTGGATGTCCTTTATAAAAAAATAGAACTTAAACTACAGGCTCATGATCCACCAGTTTTACAATCCTACAAGAAATTTGTTTTAACTGTTTCTGAAGAGCTTGGAATTCCGGTCGTGAAAGCGTAAGTTTTTGTCCTGATGATCAACTACAATATTCAACTCTCAGAACTATCTAATCATTCGTTATGGTATTTAATTAGCTAATTTTACTCCTAGAAACTCAATGAGTTTGATGAAAACAGCGCACATGTAGAATGTTGCTATGGAGATGTTACTATTTTAATATCGTTAATTTGATTTACAAAATCTAAAAATCCATTGAAATTAGTTAATAGTTGATTTATGAGATCTTCAGTAGTTGTCCAGTTGCTTCCTTTCCACTGTAATTTCACATTGTCCAGATCAGGTTTCTGATGCGATTGGCTAATTGCAATGCAATAGAAATCTATTGTTATTTATCATGTTAATAGCTAATTGCTTTTAAATTTGCAAATTCTAACATTTTCATTTTTAATCTACATAAATTCAAATAGGGAGGAGCCTTGGCGTCATATTCAAAGGAGACCACTTTTGAAATCGCGTTTCATCTACAAAGATCACAGAGCGGTGTATGAATTCAGGACATATTTCTTGAATATGCAATTCAAACATTTAACTGGTTCAACAGCAGATACATTTTTGGAGTATATAGAACGTAATCTTCCAGAAGGTGTTCATTTAGAAGTTGTTAAAACCGCATTATCGAAAATGCCGGATCATATTAATGCAAAAGAAGCTTTAGCTGCCGCTACAGAGTGATATTCACTTTAATTAAATTATTTTCTTTTTTGTATAGTTACATACATAACAATGGCATTACAAAATTTCATTACATTAGTCATAGTAATAAAAAAATATACAAATATGTAGATTGTACAGCTATTAGATAATCTTTCATTTTAATCGGACACTCTAGGTGAACTTGAACTGTCGGATTCCAATCACAAATAACAGACAAGACCATCCAAAGCATACGTAAAAGGTAGGAAGGACAGCTGAATGCCATGGACCTAAACCACGAAGCAAAGTATTCCTCAACCCTTGAGCTCCTTGAGTGACTGGAGATAATTGTGAGAGTGCTCTCAACCATGGCCCCATCGATTCAATTGGCCACAAGACTCCACTAAAAATCATGAAAGCAAACATTGCAGCTATCGAAAACGTGAAAATGAGATCAATCCGGCTGCTTTGAGACGAGATGACCATTCCAAGGCTCATTCCATTGATACTGATAATAAAAAGAATGAAAAATGATGTCAACAGTTGGGTAAACGCTGGCATGTCCAATATCTGCAAGACATAAACACTTGTGATCAAGATGGTGGAGATTTGAATTATATTTGATATTTGACGATTAAATGCATGAGCAACCAAAAATTGGAGTGGAGATACACCTATGACATAATGTCGATCCAACATGTTATCATTTCTCTCAAAACTTATGATTACTGCTGTTATTGTGTAGCCGATGGTGAAACAAACTGCTGCCATAAAGCCTGGTAAAGTGAATCTTTTAAAATTATCATGGCGATTAAGATTGGCTTCACCGAAAATTGGCTGCTCCATTTTAATTGGCAACGCGGCAATGGTTGGTTTTTGACCTTTATCAGCTAATGAGTCTTGTACAAACGCATGGAACGTCCGATCCAAACTTCTCTTCACATGGATTGCTGTTAAATCATCAGTTAAATCTGCATAAAGTTTAATTGTACTCGCTTCAATTGTACTGTTTGTTAATGTTGGCTCATAGAAATCGATTCGGGACATAATACTGGCAGAAAAATTACGTTTGAAATGCAATGCTCCCCATGTTTTCACCTGTCTGATGTCTTGTAATGATTCTTCCAAGGAATTATAAGGCACAGCATTAATATGGTATTTATCTATATGTTTCAGGAACAAAGCGCTATATTTGCCACCCAAATCATCGTTAACAATTGCAACCCGAACATCAAATGGATCTAAGCCTACCGCTATACACAAAAGGACTACAGGGACAACTGGAACAATAAATTGTAAAACCATAAACGGAATATTTCGCAAATTTCTTAAAGTGTTTTTCCAAAAAATGATTGAAACAATAGTAAACCAATGGTCCAGATTGACTGTAAACAATTTATTAAAATCAAGTGGACTTATGGCGGCTTTTGGTCGATAAATAATTTCCCCTGGACATTCATTAAGCTCATCATCAGTGTTACCATTTGGAATCTCTGGCTCTTGTAATGATGAAGACGTTTCAGGTGACAACTGAGAAGAAGAGGGTTCAATTGATGACATAGACCTTTCAGAAACCTGTATTTTATTGCAAACACAAAGGAAAGCTTGTTCCAACGTAACAGCTCCATATCTTTTCATGATAACTCCTGGTGAATCTTGAGCAAGAATCTTACCCTTTCTCATAAGACCTACACAATCGGCTTTACGAGCTTCTTCAATATAATGCGTTGTCACGATCACTGTGATGGACAATTTTTTGGACAAGTGACTTAAATGATTCCAGATTGACTTTGTTACCATTGGATCAACTCCTGCCGTTGGTTCATCTAAAATAACCAATTTAGGCTTGTTGATTATTGAAGCTGCAAATGAAACTCTTCTCATTTGTCCACCAGAAAGACTTGAAACTAATCGAGATTTGGGCGGAAGATCAAGCAAAGTAATTAAATGGTCAATATTTTGTTCAATTTTTTTAGTCTCCATCAAAAATAGGCGACCAAAGTATTTCAATGTTTCCTCAATTGTCAATTCATTGTAAAGTTGACACTCTTGCGGCATGTAACCCACACCAGGACCAGGAATACCAAGTTTCTCATGGCCTAATGGATATCCATTGATAGTTATACTTCCTCGGGCTGGTTTGAAATAGCCAACAAGACATTTGATTAGTGAAGTTTTACCACAACCACTTGGACCTGGCGAGAGCAGAGAAAGGAAAGAAACCAAAAAGTTAATTGAATTTTATGTTTTAATCATTGGGATTACATTTTACTTAAAGGGATTCTTATGCTTACTCCTAGCTAATCATTAGTTATTTTACCTTTTCTAGATTCAAATTATACCGTATAAGATGATTACTGTTGCCAGATTTTAATGATAACTAAACTTTACAAGTATCAAAAGCAAGTTGATCATTAAACCTTGATTTAGAGTTTATTTTAAACCCTTGATAATCTTCTTTGCAATTTACCTTGATACTTATTGGTATATTATAACTATCTTTATCGTTTCCAATCAACCTCCTTTGTTATGCTCACACACACACCAAAGATTTATAAGTTTTAAAATCAACAAAATTATTTACTTAAGACAACTTAATTACATCAACAAAATATTCAATCAACATTACAGAAAGTGTACAAAATGTGATCACAAAATGAATCTTAAGTAAAGCATTAATAACAATTTACATTTCTTACCAAAGATTAACTGAAGGTAAAAAATTAAGGCTATTAAACACAAATATACAAATAATTTCACTGAAATATAAGCTAATTAATTGCAGTAATAAGGGAAACACCAACTAATTAGATGAAATAAAATGAATTAATTTCATTCATCGCCATAATCATTTGATTAACTTGAAGCAAAAGGAGAAACATAATAAAATTTCAAGAGTGAATACAAATGTCAATACAACAAAGCTTCAAGGTTTCCAATTGAATTACATTAACTTGTGAACCAATTTAAATTGATTTTAAAGGTAAAAAAATTAGTTAAATCATTTGCTAACTAAAATGGCAAGATTAAACAATGTTCAAGAGCAATACAAAAGTAGAAAAGGCAAAAGTTGATTCTCTAACCTTATCATTGCCTAAACACATTTCAAAGGATGATGAAAATAAAGGTAAAGATGAGGATAAAGATGAGGAAAGGTTGTTAACATATAATTTACATAATTTCAGTTGATCAACAAATTGTTAATTTCAATGGTAAATGGCAGTGAGTTTAAGTTTTCAGGATTTTGGCTAAAAAGGGAAAAGGCAAAGAGAGGAAAATATATTTCATGGTTGAATCAATTTTCAATGTAAAACCATGAGAATGAAATGTTAATAGATTTTACCTGGAATAATGTTAACTGAGATTCAGATTAAAGGTTAGTTTGAGCAAATAATCGAGACACAATAAAGTTTACAATAATAAAAAAAAAAGGATTTATCTAATCATATAAAAAAAGTATAAGACTGATGATGTTGAAGCCAAAATAATGAAAAAGCTATTCCCTGTTATTACCATTATTATTGTGATTATTTTAATAATCAGTGAAGCAAAGTATTTCTCCTTTTCTCAGTCCATTTTGTAGTCAACATGAAGATGAAGATGAGAGGAAAAAAGGGATGAAAGAGGATAAAGATGATGATGAAAGTCAAAAGTGATTTATAACATCATTAAAGTCCATAGTCTTTTGCATTTGAATTTGCTTCGACTCATGAATCAATCTGAAACTGATGATGAGATAGTGAATTGATGATCATCATAATACATTAGATGGTTCACTTTGTCAATACTTTCAATACAAAAATGTTCATCAATGTCAATTTAGGTTTTACCCAATAGAGACTTTAAATTTACATTTTAACTCTTATCGGACTTGAGATGAGAAGCTGAGAAAAATTGTTCAAAAGTAAAACTGATTCCTGATTTACTTTGATAACTGTTGAGGTCATTTTTGTTGGCCTCTAAACAAAAATTGAATGGACCATTACACTTCAATCAATTTAAACTTGACTAGTCTTTTAACTCGCCACTTTACTTCCTCCTCCTCCTTCAACTTCATCTTCAAGTTAACAACAAAAAAACAGTTTCTTCAAACTTGTTCAATCTTAACCTTTAATCAAAACATTTATCAATTTTACCAGTTTTACCCATTTTTAACTATTCATTGAAACAAAACCAGGTTCAAATGTCAACCTTAACCAGATTTTTTGTTTCATTTTAATTGTGACAAAATGACTAAATATTTGACAGAAAATGGGAAAAAGAAGAAAATTAAATGCTATTTAAAATGGTTGAGCATCCATAATGGATAACATGTTGACTTGAAATTTAGCCAAATTGATTGTTTGTAACAGTAAAATTGAACAATTAAAGAAACTTGTAAATCTGGCGTGAAATTAAATCAAGTGTAAACTGATTCAGTATCATAATCATGGTCTTCAGGGTTTTGCCAATCATCACGAGATCAGGTCAAAGTAAAAGCAATCTTTATCGTTAATGAACCAATCAACTGATGATCAGTTTAGTTGCTCTTGCAAACCAAACAAAACCATTGTAACCCTTTACAAGCCCATAAACACAATTACTTTTAAAGGCAACCAAAAAAGGCAACAATGAATTGAATGAAAATGAGGATGAAAACTGGTGAGAAATGAATGAGAAACAAAAAAAGGCAACTTTGCTTCTCAACATTACCAATTAATTTGATTACAATGGATTAATCTGTTGACCCATTGATGGACCAAACAATGATTGACAATTTTCTGTATTGAACAGGTTAAACAAGAAAAGGCAAAGTGTTCAGAACAGGTCAAGAACTTGCATCTTTTTTTTCCTTACAGTTATCATGAAATTTATCATTACAATAATAACCAATCAGTTAGGAAAGTGAACAAAAAATGAATCTAATCTGTTGCCTCATTATTTTATTGTTGCATTTTTCTGGTCAAACTTGTTACCTGAATTAACCTTTGTCATGATAAAGAATGGAAACTGTTGCCCAGCAAAAAGTTCAGAGTGTGGACAACACGAACTTTTCCAGTTCTTTCTTCTTCTTCAGCTGACTGACAATTTACTTTTCCTTTTGATTAAAGTACATTCCGATTCAATGACAATCTGCCTCATCAATTGTTATTAATAATCACGCTGATCCAGGTAATTATTGATGAAAAGGTTTGCTTTTTTCAATCAACAATTTCAATTTTAACAATGAGTTTGTACATTTGACGAATCATTGATTCAATTGAACCTTTGATTGTCAATTGAAAGTTTCAAATTTAATCTGAAAAAAAGCAAGATTAATTTCCAGAATCATTTGGCCTTAAAAAAAGAGTACAAAGTAAAGGTTAGAAAAGCCAAAAAGTGAATTTAGCCTTTCAATTGGAAACCATTCAATTGGATTCTGGTTCAACATGAAAAAAAAGGTTCAAAGCTTGTTTCAAAAAGCTTGTCCTCATTTAAATAATTTTCATGTTGATTTACAGTTAATTGCTGTTAATCATTTTCAGTAAACAGTTTCATAAAAGTAAACATTAATATTTTGATCCTTTCAAGCTTTGAGGCTTCATTGTTTCAAATTGTCTCAATGAACATCTTTTGAGTTGACACTTTTTTTTGCTGCCTTTTGACAATTGATGAATATAATTCAATTTAATCGATGACCAATTGAACATGTTTCATGTTGAAAGAAAATTATCAACTTCAATAATGTAAACATTTACTTTGGGTGCAGTCAACAATCGGTAAATAACTAATTTTATTGGATTGAAATTGATTGAACTGATCATCAATTGATTGATAATGTTTTCCTTTGAGTTGGTTAACATTAAACAGCAGCAAGTTGAAGGAATACAATTGTTGTTTTGATTGAACAAAATTCAATAAATGATATTCTTAGCCTTAAATAATCAGAATTGTAAATTACTTTACAAATCAGAGTTGGAGTCAAGAGTCAAGAAAGATCATTTGTTGTGACTGCTCTTTGACCTTTCAACAACTTTCAACTGGAAACAAAAACTGACTCTCAAAGATCATTAGATGATTTTTTGCTGAAATATTGATCAACTTGATATCTTTGCAAGACATCATCGGGTTATTTTGATGAGTGAAGTTGATTTGATCCTAAAAAATACTTTCATGTCTTCATTACAAACCTTATTGTTTCAAAGGTTCAACTCAAGCCACTGATGGTAACCAATATTTTTAATCAAATGGTTAAACTGTATAAACTGAAACTGTTTTGGTTAAATAGTCAACTAATACTGTTAACTAAGCACAGTTTACTCAACAGACAATGATAAATGTCATCGTCCAGTGAAGTACACTGAAAGTTGAGACTGTATGGCTGAGTGGCCCAGTGTCCACCTCCAAAGCTGAAGACAAAGCTTGACTGTTGTATTTAAGCAGATAATGAACATGTAATTTCAACCTGTGAAATTAAATTAGATTTGTCTCCTATTTAGAGGCAATTTATAAATTTCGTCTCATTATCTCAGCCTTTAATGTAGACTCATACAATTCAATCTGAAAACTAAGAATCGACTGGTTTCTAACTAGAAACCTCTGGATGAAATTCAGACAACTTATCTTCCTAATGATAACTCAATCGGTAATGATGGTATTATTGCATGGAACTGCTCCAGCTGAATCTTGACTTGCTGACGGAAACGTCACTGGTGATGACGATGATAGCTGTATTGGTGACGATGAAGTATCTAGCGACAGTCTGCCATACTTTCCATGATATGATAACCGTCAAAACCTAGATACACCAACAAGTCAAGATGCAACTGAAGCAGGTCCATCCAATGGTAGCCAATATAAAATGCTCAATAGCAAGGTTCACGCACCTTCAGATTTCTCTACAAAAAATCGACTAGTAACATCGATCTCTGCGCCTTTTAGCTTTTGCTAAACACTGAATTAAAAAAAATGTTGAGATTACATTACGTATTGATCTGAATCAGTTAAACCACAATATCTCGAAGTTACAAGATAAAACACTCGGGCTTCGACCTCGAGTTACTCCTAACTTCTCGGTCCAGTGGTTCAACTAACTTGACACAAATGACCACATTAAACTCAACCAGTATTTCATAAAATAATGAATGGTCAATGTTAATTTTCGTTGCAAATCAATTTCAGAATTTGTTGCTCTCTCAATTTGATATTTTCACAGCAATCAAATGAGATGATTATGCTAATTGAGATGAAATTGCAATTTCGCTAACATTAAAAGCTCATTAAAATATCAAATTGAGTTATTTACTAACTTTAGCCAAGAAAATTTATCGATTATTTCTTGAGCAAAAAAAACAAATAACAGAAAAAAATTCAACTTTCATTTCTGAAGACAACTTTCAAAATTGGATTAACCTGATTAATTGAAAACAGTTTATTAACCATTAATCAATCGTCAGAAAAGGTTGACAAAACTTTTTCTGGTAAACTCAAAGTCGCTGTAAACCAGAATAGCAACAAACAAAAGCATTGAAAGTTGAAACAATTGCAGTTGATTGTAATGAAATGAAATATTCATCATTAACCCTTCCATCTACAATTAAATCAATTAAAACAATTAAATTTTGGTTGATGGTTAAATTATTTAAATCTGGTTACCTCGTTTTACCCATTTACTGATTTGTATGCACAAAAAGTGAATCCAGTTTGATGATAATTAACAAGAAGCTTGAATAATATGATCATTATAGCAACATCATGATAATCATGATCAATTCAATAGTATTCAATACTAAACCTTATAAGCCATGAAACTCAAGTGTTCATTGTTACAGGAAAAAAAATGAAAGAGAAGAAAGAAAAATGGTTCATTTTAAGGAATCCTTTTTTTCACCATCTTCCAATAATCATTATCAATGTCATAACCATCATTATTAGCATCATCTCAATCATTATCATCATCATGATTATCAACTGTATTTGATAACAATCAAACAATTTCGACTGGCCATTTCTGGTCAATCAATTTACTGGTCTTTTGCTGGCCTTTACTCTCATTATCATAACAACCAAATAACAAAATAACCAATGATTAAGGAGTGATGAGATGAACTGGTTTAACCGATTTTCATTGATTGGTGAATGTATATTGTAAACCAACCTAAATAGCCTTATGACCTTAAAAGAGCAACCTTTAACTACTCCTGTTGATCATCAACAATCATAATCATCAGCTTATCATCACCAGAAAGAAAGATGAAAAGCTTGAAAATGGTTTAAACAATTAAAAATGTATTTTAACGCCAAACGTTAAACTGTAAACTAATAATTATGGTGTTATTATTGGATCTGCTTTCAAAGGCCGTTTGCTTTCATCTTCATCCCGATAGATCCTGGTTTTAATTCAATTCAATCCAGCCTTTTGTTGACTGCCAATGAAAAGTGTAATTTATTAATGTAATAATAATACAAACAAGCTTGCCAAATGATTGACAATGAAAATGCGTAAATTGTTACATTTGCAGGTTGAAACGTAACACTGCTTTACACCGTTACCAGAAAAGAGGCAAATTTTTGAATCAATTAACATTCAACACTCACGTTCATCTCAACTTTCATTGTCCAAGCCATTAAAGCGCAAATTGTTTCAACAATTAAAGGTGCAAAATGAGTTAATTTTTTAACCTGAATACATCAGGGTCATCAGCTATTAATTGCATTAAGCACAAGAGATTAACAATTGAAAGTAGATTAACCATTTTTTTTCTGGTTTTTCAACATTTTTCTGGTTTGCTTTTGTTTTCCTCTGTTATTGATGTAAAAATATATATTGATAATAAAAACAGAGATTGGACAAAAGGGTCAAGAATCGATCGAAAGATCGAAGGGTAACTTGGATATAATCCAAAAGCTCTTTTTTTTATTGTTACATTATTGTTATTGGAAAATATTTTATCGCCAACTTTTGTTGTTGTCTATTTACTGAGCAAAATTCAAAGGTAATAATAATGATAATAATGATGAAGGGATAAAAAATGAATGTTTCCAATTGGATTGTGAGATCGATGAGATGGAAAGTTGGAAAGTGAAGGGAAAAAGTAATATTAGTAAAAGTAAAAATAATGTTGGAGAAAAGATGAAAATTGAGAAATGAAAATACAGGGAAGGAGGAGGAGGAGGAATCAGTTCTAGGTTCGAGCTCTTCCATCATGACAAAAGTATATCAAATGAACAACACCCCATGATGATGAGGAGAATGAGAAACACGATGAAAATGATTACAATGATAATAAAGGGTGAAGAAAAGGAATGAAGCGCATTCATCATAATCAGAATTATTTTTCCGAGAACTTTTCTTTTCTCTTTTCTCTTTTCTCTCTACTTTCACCATCTTCAAGAAGGTAATCAGGATCATGTTGATGATGGCAATGGATTGATGTCTGAGTGTAATCACAATTTTGCTTGAATTAAAGCAGAGTAACAAATAGGAATTGATCTTTGCTGAATTATATCCTTTACAAAATCAATGGTTTCACTGAAAAAAAGGAAGCTTTCATGATCATCTTTATGAACTTTTATTTCCTACTTTTTGCTTCTCTCTCTCTCCTGGCCTAGTTTCAGATCTCTTTCATTATTGTTGTATTAAGATGATGATAAGTTCAATAAATCATTATTATCTATTACATGAAATGATATCAAATGAACACTTTTTTCACTTATTCACTCTTCTCATCATTTTGCCAATCTTTATCATCATCATTATCATCATTCTGACATTAACACACATGAAGAGAGAGAGAGTAAAAGATACTTATAAATCATGAGCTTTTTTTGCTTCCAATTTCAATTGAACATGATAAAAGGTTACTCTAAATGTGCTTTAATATGTGAATAATTTTTATTTTCATTTTTCATCTCAACTTGACGTTCAATTTGTTTGCGTTTTTTTTGCTCATATTAGATGTAACAGTAATAACAGTTAAATTGATTGTTACAATTTTTGGATAATTTATAAATTTAATAAAAACAAAAGATACAATTTACAACACTTGCTGCAAGTGATACATTTTAGATTGAAAATGTAAATTGTTTATGACACTCTTTTCCCTTTAATGGCTCTGTTTACCAGGGAAGATCAGATGAAACAATAAAATTCCCATCATGTTAACCTTGATTTGAATAATTTGTTTGGTGAATTCATTATTCATAGTCAACCTTGAATGGAAACAATTATTCTATTTTAATCAAATATTTTCTTTCTTTTTCCTTCAAATTCACTTTCACTTCAATCTTTTGAGTTACATAATTGATCAATGTTTTCCCATCTCGAGGTTATATAACTAGTCTTGGTGTCTTCATGATGATGGACAAGATGATTTACATTTTTGTGTTTTTTTCTTCTTCGCCAGTCATGTCAATATTACCATGGATTCAGGAGAATAGGAAAAGTGTAGCATTTTCAGTAAACTTGATTGGGACCAATCGATAATCAAAATTATCCTGTCAAGGCGAAGTGTTGATGAAAACAAGACTTCAACAGTTGACATTGATACACATTAATTGCCACTTGTTTTGTCAATGTAATTTCATCAACAGAGTTTCGTCGCAATTGATTAACAAATGTTAACGTTATTAACGTTATTAATCATTATCTTTACCAGTTTTGGTCCAAAAGGACAGAAACGCAAAAGAAAAGCAAATTGTCTTTAAACCAAATACCAAAACTGGTCATTTCATGTTAACTCATTGTTGACAATAAACCTGGTCAAAGATATTTAATTAAATTTTCATCCTCTTCAACAATCATTGAAGTTAATTAGTTTTGCATGTAACAGTGAAAATTAAAATTTAATTAACAGTGAAAGTCATGAAAAAACGGTTCAAAAGTTAACCCAATTAAACTGCAATTTTGAGTGAAATATCCAAAGACTGGTCAACCTTTACCATTGAAACTACAATCAAAGGAATTAAAGATTCACCAAATATTTGGGTTTCATCTTTTCCCTGGTTTCATCAGTTTAACCAGAAAAGGATGGAATATTGAAAAGTCTGTTTTTTTGGTTGATCTTTTCAAACGATTAACACGTAAATTACACAATTAACTGATATAATTGATGGACATAAAACTTACCCAATAACCCATAAATTGAAGCTGGTTTAACATTGAGTTGAACTCCTTTCAATACATTACCAGTTTGATTGTAACCCAAGTAAAGATCGTCCACTTGAACAGCAAATTTAGGTTGTTGATCACTAACAGTAATTTGTTGAATATCCATTGGGATGAAACACAATTTAACATGAAATGTTGATTCAAAAATTGCTCGATGTAAAGCACAAGAAGAGGTCAATTTGTATCAATTCACAGAGTTGATTGTTGAACAATTTGGGTTGACATTGTTGGTCAATTGAAAGGGTTTCTTGTTATTGATCAAAAATATGAGAAAAGGTTTGTTACAAGGAAAAGTTGAAATTGAAAAGGTTAACCAGCAAATGAACAAAAAAGTGTTGTGAAGTGAAAAAAGTGAAAGTTGAATGTGAAATTAGGTTTAATATGAAATCAACTTTCTTTAAGAAAAAACTATTCGAAACATTTGTTTTTTTCTTCTTTCCTTTCTTTCTTATCCCTCAGGCATTTAATAAACTGGTTTTTCATTATCATCTTTCTCATCATTATCATCATGATCATTATTATGAGAAATGAAATGAACAACTAATGAACGAACCCAGAAAACTGTTTAACCGGTTAACATGTAATTCAGTAACGGTAAACAAATTTCAACTCGAAGTTTCTGACCAAAACATTTGAAACATCTTTTTACCTCTTTACTCACTTTCACCTTATTTTTGAACATGAAACCCAAAAAAACTGGTTAACGCGATTAAGGTCACATATTCGTGTGATAAAACTGGTTAACTGTTGACTTTCATCTGTGCAATCAACAAAGTATGGAAATGATGAAAAGCCTTTTCAAGTTGAACTTGAAAAATGAAAACAAAACAAGTCCAGAAAGATTCATAGTGATCATGAGTAATCAATTATTTTTGGCGAAAAATGAATGCAAAAACTTGGAGTTTGGTACAATTGTAAATTTTAGGTTGAAGCTTTTGCTTCGAGCAAAAGCAAAAGAGCGGAAATTATTTTTCATCGACAAAAATGGCTTATGGACAGTTCTTTTGATTTCAATGAATTACCTTAAAACTTTGAGTCTCAATATTTGGATAATGATAACGCTTGCAAACATTAGCAGTGATCAATTAATGCGCTCATGTTTCATCATATTAGCTACCTGAAATTGGCGTGATCCAGCTGGTCAGTTATGGATCTATGGATGTTGGTTTTATCGTCCTTATGAAACTTATCATATTGCTTCAAAAAAGTTCTTAGAAAAAGAAGTCTTCAAAAGTGATAGTTACAATAATGCACCTCTGTCTCAAGTTGCGGGAAAGTGTTTCATCATGTTCGTGAAAGACTACTTTAAACTTAAACCGGAAGGCTTTGAGGATTGTGATTTTTACGTATGTGAATCTCGATACTTTACACGAACGAAAACTCTTAAGAAGATCAAAGTTTGGCCTTACTTTAATGACCATTCATTAATACCCAGAGAGCAACACTTACCCATGATCCGAGTACCTTCAATTTTTAAGGACAACAAGCAAGAAAAGTGTAAAGAGGAACAGTTAATAAGTGATTATGACGATAATGATGGTCCTAAGCTTTTAGATATTGAACGACCTAACATAATCATTGAACCTGGAGATGGAATGCCAATTGAAGAAGGTGCTATTTATTATGAACAGTTCACTATTCCATCAGGTTCATACAAGTTAGGAGACTGTTGTTGTGTGCGAACTGATAATGGACGTAATCTCATTTGCAGAATTGATCGAATGTGGGTTGATAAAGATGGTAATGCTTTCTTCCATGGTCCTTGGTTTGTGCAACCCAGAGAACTGCCTTTATCCATATCTCGAATGTTTTATCCAAACGAAGTATTTCTCAGCTCAATTGAAGATACAAACCCTCTTCTTAGCATATGTGATAAATGCTCTGTTCTTGAATTTAAAGATTATATAACTAGAAGACTGACTGAAATTCCAGAACATCATTTTTATAGACCTTGTTACTTACTATTTTATTTTTTGGTCTAAAACATTTACAGGATGAAGAAGGTAGATGCTATAGTGATTCAATTATTGAGTTTCTGAACAAGAACCCAAAAATGCTGATCCAAATGAACGGTAAGAATACTTTTGATTACATTTAACATCTTTGAAACTAAACCAATATCCAATCTCTTATTTTCAGCCGTCCTTTAACATTAGATCAAATTAAGAAGAATCTCGAAAAAAGAAGATATCGTCGTTTAGATCGATTTCAACAAGACATGTTTGATGTTTTTGAAAGAACTCGACGCAATACTCGTGTTGATTCTCAAGCGTTCGAAGATTCAGTTGAATTACAATTATACTTTATTCGCTTGCGGAATGAACTTTGTCGGAATGGTGAAGTACTGATATCTAGTGCATTAAATTTTACAGAAATAAATTTAAACGCTCAAGACGATGCATTAAAATTGGAGAAACTACCTTTTGAAAATCAAGAAACCGATGCAGAAGCTAAAGGTGAGGATAAAGAGGCTGATCCTAGTGGAGGAGCTCCAGTTGAAAGTATTCCTGAAGTATCATTAAACGACCAAGTTTATCGACCTGGTGATTTTGTTTATATTGAATCAAGAGAGAAAGGTCCCCATATAATGAATATTTCAAAACTTTGGCGTGATCCAGCTGGCCAGTTATGGATCTATGGATGTTGGTTTTATCGTCCTTATGAAACTTATCATATTGCTTCAAAAAAGTTCTTAGAAAAAGAAGTCTTCAAAAGTGATAGTTACAATAATGCACCTCTGTCTCAAGTTGCGGGAAAGTGTTTCATCATGTTCGTGAAAGACTACTTTAAACTTAAACCGGAAGGCTTTGAGGATTGTGATGTTTACGTATGTGAATCTCGATACTTTACTCGAACCAAAACTCTTAAGAAGATCAAAGTTTGGCCTTACTTCAATGACCATTCATTAATACCCAGAGAGCAACACTTACCCATGATCCGAGTACCTTTAGTCATAGCTAGAACCGAATCTATGCCCGAGTGAACCAATAGCAAAGAATGTTATTCTTGGTCGCTGGATATAAAAAACTCTTCATTTCCTTTCGAACTGATTGATCCACCTCAATATTACATCTCGGACCGTGGTCACCAAATCTATTACAACTTAAACCAAACTGTTCATGTTGCTGCAGCTAACTATTACTAATACATTCATTTACCTAAAAGTGTTGAGCCATTTGTTGACGGTTATAAGTACTAAGTTTTTGGATTCGAAAAATATCTGTTAATTGCTAGAGAAACAATTAGAATAGAAACGATTTCTTGTTAAAATTGAATGGATAACCTCAAAGATTGATTAGAGTGAATCTAAAGAAAGGAAGAAAGAAAGAAAATTTTTGATCGTCAAATGTTCGTGCAAAGTTCCACTTTCTGTTAAGATTTTATTTGCTGTTGAAAGTTTCTCTAAAAACTGTTGAAAACATTCAAGTTATCCTGAAGCAGTTCCGACTCATAATGTCATCTATTAACATGCAACTTGAGCACCCAAGCCAGAAGTTTCAAAATTTTAAAAGTAATTTACTTTCTTTTTCACGTTTCTCATCGATCTTATCAGAGATCAATCTTCTGTGTGTTTCTAGAAGAAGCGAAAAATTATAACTAAAACTTCAAATATTTCGTTCACTTATGAGAAATTAGAGTTTCATGAAAACGATCGAACCTTTTGATTGAAAATGCAAAACTAGTCTCAACTGTTCAAAAATGGTTTTGCAAGTTAATGATGAAAGTGACTAAAAAATGTATTTTGATATTCATCAAAGTTATAAAATATCTCAAAATTGAAACTTTAGCAATATTTTCAACTCAACATTTAATAGACAAAAGTTTTAATCTTTGAATGAAAATGATATTGAACTGAATCTAGAACTCAACTGAAACAATTCAGCAATTGAGTTATCAAAGGAGCAAATTAAGTTGATCAGATGAATAAATTTACCTTTTGATCTATTCTTATGGTTACATTTAGTGGAGTAAAAGAGGAAAAATGTTTGATGCAACTTTTCATGTAGAGTTATGGAGATTGAACCATTTAAAGATTGTCCCGTTTAATCTGCAGATTAAGGCTTAAAGGTTTAACTTGAAGTTTACTTGTAATTCATGATCAATATAAATTGATTAACTTTTAATGCCATTGAAGTAAACAGTGAAAAGCATGAGATGAGTTTGGAATGGAATGAAGTAAAACAAAAGTTCATTTGATCGGTAATGTAAGGTAAAGTAAGCAAGATTAACAGGGCAAGATTGAAGTGATTAAAGTTGAATAATAACAATGTTTGTACAATAATAGATCTAATTGTGCATCGAGTAAACCATGATTAACTGTAAATGATGGGTTGAAAGGTAAATTGTCAGTTTAAAGCTTACTTTTTTTGTGTGTTTTGTTTTTTATTCAAAGTTAACCTAATCATGCTTTTAATCATCATAATCTTCATCTATTCAGGCCTCATTTGGTTGCATTAAGAGACAAGACTAAAGACTGGCAGGAAGATGATGAAGATGAAGATGAACAAGATGAAGATTCCTTTGAGAGTTTCTCACTTTATTATTTAGTTGAGTAACATTTGCAGGTTGAGGATGACGATGATGATCGGATTACAAGATTGAAAGGTTCATTTGTCTTCAACTGGCAAAACATTGAGATGAACACAAATAAGGCAAATTATGTCAAAATGTTGTGACAAGAATAGCAAAAAATGCAATGTAATTAGTTTTGTTACAAGAAACAGTGAAATTGAGTTAATTTCAAATCAACTCTGTTTTCCCTTTCACTATTAATGCATCAACATTGATCAAAATGGTATCATCTTATTATCATCAAAATGATCATCAATTCAAATGGAAACCTTCAAAACCTTGCTTGTCAAATTGGGACTTTTGTTTTCAAAATTTTACTCTTGTTTTGCATAAAAAAGGTTAAGTCAAGAGAATCTGGTGATTCTGGTTAAATTGCACAAATTTTTAGACTTTTGATTTACTAAAGAAAATTAAACTCGAAAGTATCAAGTCTTGAAAATTTTTACGTTCGATCAAAGAAAGGCTTTTCCCAAATTGAATATGATGAGACAAAAGTTACGGATTTAACTTTTGGATTTCGCACTCTAAAGATGGTTATTTCGTTATAAATCCGTGTCTTTTCGATGTCGATTGATTGTGTCCTACTCAGTGAAAACAGGGTTAAACGGAAAGGGTTCTGAGGAAGCCGTAGGTTTTCGATAAAATGAAAATCGTAATCATAATAATAATAATAACAATAGTATCATCTAAATATCGAAATACAGAATCTAAGACAAAATGCAAAATGTATTTACTATGAATTACTGATCGAAAAACAGTTTTCAAACAATGAATTATGAGCTCAATGTAACAAGATAAGTTTGTTATTCATGCATTTCATGAGAAGGATATGATCATATTGACTATCATGTCATACTTAAGAACAAAGATTATCAACCAGAAATACCTATTCTGCATTTCCCCTCACCCTGTTGCAACTTGAATTTCTCAGAATTGGTTGTAGGGGAATAAAATTGATTTCATTTTTTGAATTAAAAAGCTTCTCTTATGGACTATCATTGGTAAAATTGAGTTCAAAGTCGAAACTGTGATCTTCTTTTGTAAAGTTAAGGCACCAGATTTTGTCACCAAACTCCTAATCTAACAACGAACCATCAACCTATTAAACCTATTAATAATAAGCAAAAAAGCTTTTCCCCAAAACAAGAGACGAGCTACGAACAGCTCGGCTTTCAATCGGAGTTGACTGTAATATCAATTGATTTTGATTAAAGATACGAAATAAACTTTCAAATTTTGGCCAGAATTTATTTACATGTATTTATGTATTAACCAGACTGTTTAACCGAAAACTGTATTGTTTATTAATGCTTAGCGTAAAAGTATTGGCAACATTCAAAAATTTATGCCTCAAAATAAGATCACTCGACGATCATAATTCAATTTATTTACTGAAGATTATTTAGACCTAATTTCAGTGTTTCATCTTGCTTCCACTATAAGATGTTCATGATTTAGTCCATAAAACTTGAACTTCATTTATTTGAACCTCTTTTCAATGTTAATGGTCTAAAATATTGCAATTAGCTGATTAATAAAGAAATTTTAACTTTTAATTTTTATTCAAACTAACATTTCAAAGTGAGTTATCAATTTTTACTCAAAATCCTGGTAAATACAATCAATTAAATACACAATTAAAATGAATTTTCCCGATACTTTTTTTCGCGATACACCAAGCGTAATTTCTGAATAATAATCAAATTTCTTCTTAAAAATGACATGATAGTGAATATAATGAAAGGTTTTTCTCTGACTGCGTAAAGCTTTAGCTTGAGTAAAGTGAATTTAACTTATACTCGGAGATTCCGATTGCCTTTCACTAACTTCAATCGGGGTCAGGTTCGTTTAGGATTCCCAGAGTTTCTAAACCTTAAGAGTAACTTGTTCTTTAGGGATAACTTTAGTTAAAACGTATAACGAGAACACGCATTCAATGGTAAGATCAATAGATCAACACTGTGTAGTTGAAGAAGGATTAACTGTATGGTAATGAGTTACCGGACAACAAGGAGATGAATTTAACATAAGTTTATTAGGATAAAATAAAAGAAGGAGAAACTGAATTTGCTTGAGCAAAACAAGAAGTTGAGTCGACAAGACTTGAAACAGTTCTTCTTAATTTTCATAAGAAAGTTAAGGATTATATACTAAATTAAAGTAAATTTTGGAGGGAACACAAGAACAAAAGAATGACCATATTGAGCTTTAGCTTATCTCTAGACATAAAGTCTCGACAGAAGTCTTATCTTTTACATTGGTTTGTCTTGTGTCATAGTTAAAGAGGGGGGACACATTAGTGTTTTTCCCTTTACAAAAAGTGATAAGATTTTAACTTTTACTAATCAAAATTAGACAGTAGTCTTAGACAGAGACGGAGAAAGAGAAATTCAAAGTCTTTCCTTAAATGGCATTAAAATGAATCTAAAATTTTAGACTTATTAAAGTTGAAAATGAAATGAAATAAAATTGAATGTTTTTAAACAAAATGAATGAATTAAGATTAATCATAAATGAAAGAATTGTTGTTCAACAGAATATCTTGAGGAAGTTTTGATTAGGTGAATTTATACCCTTCACTCCCCAGTGGTTTGATCAAGATACCTTTTCAAAACTTGATTAGGTATTCGACTATTTCCTGAGCTTTCCTGTTCTGAAGGAGGATCATTAAGACTAGCTGAGGGGTCATTAAGAACTTCATCGTATGGAGGAGGAAGTTCATCAGTGACTTCAGGATCTTCTTTAGAAGTTTCCTCTAAGTTTTCAGTTTGCTGTTCTAAATTTTCATTTTGAACAGTTTCAACTTGTTCAGGAGCTTGTTGATCATTTTGATCAACTTGTTCATCTTCGTTAGAAGGTTGATTTTCTGTTGAATCAATTGATTCATTGTTAGGATTATAAAAGGGTTCTGAATCTAAAACAAAATAAGGGCTACTAGGCATATTTGGACCTGGCGATACACAATTTGAATTGAAAGATGGAAGTTCCCTGGAGGGCTTGTTGGGTGATCCTAAATACGACCAATTCTTGGGCCATTGAGCAATGTTCTTGTCCACTTGATGTTGGTATAGTTGCAGTAGCCGGGCCACATCTTTGTTTCCACAAGTTATAACTGCATTAGAATGATGAATTCCAGTTCCAAGAGACTTGACTCTTTCCTCAATTAGGGGCCAAAAAACCATATAAAGGCATACGCTTGTTAAAGCTTCAACTCCAGGTGAATGTGGAGCGTTGTCAATGACAAATCCATGAAAGATTAAGAATGCGATCAATGAGAGAGAGGCAGGGTGTTCAATGTATGGCGATAAGTAGTTACAAATTTCACGTAACTTTGGCTTTAGCCATTCAATTTCAGCAAATGTTAAATCAATTGATCTAAAGAAATTGATCAGACCTGCACCAACAATTTGTTCAGCAACAGCAAAG